CGACGCGGACGGGCAGCGCGACGCGACGCGAAGGGACGGGATGGACTGCGCGACGCGGACGGGCAGCGCGACGCGGACGGACGGGACGGGACGGGACGGACGGGCAGCGCGACGCGACGCGAAGGGACAGGATAGACTGCGCGACGCGGACGGGCAGCGCGACGCGGACGGACGGGACGGGACGGACGGGCAGCGCGACGCGGACGGACGGGACGGGGCGGACGGCGTGACGCGGACAAGCAGCGCGACGCGGACGGACGGGACGGGACTGAAGGCGCGACACGGACGGGCAGCGTGACGCGGACGGACGGGACGGGACGGACGGCGCGACGCGGACGGACGGGACGGGACGGACGGCGCGACGCGGACGGACGGGACGGGACGGACGGCGCGACGCGGACGGACAGCGCAACGCGGCGGGACAGTTGGAGCGACGTAACGGCAGGCGCAGCGGGCGCTAGGGCACGAGAGCGACGTAACCGCAGGCGCAATAGGTGCTAGGGGACAGTACGAGCGTAACGGGCACTAGGGTACGGGACAGGCTCGGGCGCTACGGACGTGAATGAGAGAAACGGGATCCCACAGGATCCTAACCTAGGTGATACCATGTCAGGAATGAAAGTGTTGGTTCATTGATGTGGGTTGGGGTACATATAACAAACCCTAACATCTGTACCCCTAAGACAAACCTCACTACAGGCTACAACATTTGACACATAACCCCCCAGGCGAACGTGCCTGTAACCCTTCCCTAGGATCAATCGGGGATCACCAGTGGACCTCTGACACCCCCCCGCATTGGGATGCCTGAAGTGCACATGCTGGGATTCGAACCCGAGACCTTCGCTGTGATAACATGTCAAAATCCCAACCTCTAGACCATTGGGATAAAAGGGCTTGTTTGTGCAGCGGGTGAGTGCGCCCATAACCCCCCAGGCCAACGTGCATGTAAACCTTCCCTAGGATCATTCGGGGATCAAGTGGACCCTGACAAGGAAATGTTTACGGCTACCATTGGTTGCCTGGCTAACTGGATGGACGGGTGGCCGGTTGATGATAGCAGAGTTGGCTGGTTGGCTGGATGGTCGATTGGTTAGCTTGTTGGGCAGGCTGGCTGGCTGGTTGAATGCTGGTCGGTTGGCTGGTTAGCTCATTCTGTTGGCTGACTGTATGGCGACAACTGGCTAATTGGTTGGTTGGCCACCAGTGGGCTTTAACCGTAGTTCAGGTCAACAAGCATGCAATGAAAGAGAATGACACAATACCTCGTTTCTCAGACTGTGTCCCTTCGTAGCAACAAGTGGATTGGTGGTACTGTTAAAATAGTAGGCATAGTTAGGACTAGAAGCACAGGGTTTAATCTAGGCATGAGAGAGATGTCCAAGCAAGAAGGGTTTGAACTATAGAATCACAAGTACCGGTACAAATAGAGGAGAAGCATGCAAGGAGTGATGCACCACCACACAGTACAACTATGGAACTACACTACAGCTACAACTACATGCACTTATACAAAATATATATAAAATATGTCCTGACAAGTACCCCTTGTTGCTGGTGTCCATGGTGGTTGGAAACTTGTTGTGGGCCTGGTATTGCACTCCCGTGCATTGCATGGATAGTCACCCCTTATATCTTCCCCACTCCCTGCCATGTTGTGCGTGTGAGTTTCGGTAGCATGTTTCGTCCCCTGCAGCTCCCACTCGTGTGCGTGCGCCCTGTCCTCCTTACTCTCCTTACTGTCCTTACTAGCTCACCTTACTCTCCCTCAGAGCCAAGGACGACGGCTCGGCCAGAAGCAGCCAAGTCCTCCTCATGCTACGGCACAGCACCTGCAGGAGGACACCCTGTCCTGCATGGGTGTTTGCACCCAGGCACCCTCTAGGCTGCCCACCTCACCCACCTATTCTACAACATGCAGGCCCATCCCACCACAGCACAGCACAACATAATAAGATCTTATAAACAGGCTAGTAGACAGTGTTGAATAGTAGACAGGGGTTGTCTATTATCCGGGTGTCTCTTATAAACAGGCTAGCCTCTGACATGCATCCAGGTGTCCTGCGTCAGCATGCTGCTGCTGCTGCTGACTTCCAGGAAGCACCCGGGTGCTCCAGGGTGCTTGGTTGCTGCAGTCGTGCTGTCGCACGACCCACTCTGTGTCGCTGCAATTGTTGCCAAAGACAGCAAAGAGACATTGAGAGTAAGGGGTGAGGGAACATAAAGAGAAGGAGCAACACAAGGGCTAGGATGAAGGGAGACGGGTAGGTAAGCCACGTGACGTGAGCCTGGGCAAGAAACGCAGGCGATATTGAACAACCAGCACCCAACGGGAGTTCGGAAGCACTAGAGTAAGCTGTACTCACTCATTGCATTGCTGCTGCTGCAACCACTGCAGCTCCCATTGACGCTGCCACCACTGCCAAGGCTGCCGCCCATGCTGCTGGGTCGGATAAACGGTGTGGCCCTTCACTGCTGTTCACCCCTCCACTGCTGCTGCAGGAACCACCGCTGCTGGCACCACTGCTGCTGCTGCCTCCGCAGCAGCCCATAGTACTGGCTCTGAATAGAAATTGCTGCTCTTCTGGCAATGAAAGAAAAGGGAGCAAAGAAGAAGAGAGGGCAGGATAGGAGGGCTTTGAGAGGAAAGCAGAGTGGCATGATTAACTGGAACACAGCAGCAAAGGTACACGGCCGCTGAGGATAAAGAGAACAGCATAACAGAAAGCATGAAAACGGGGGATGCACAAGTGGTATTCTAATCCACTCACAGCTTGTGTTCTTGCCATAATCCTGCAGTTGCCCTGAGTGGCTGTTGCCACTGCCGCGCCGCCTTGAGTGCTGGAGGGGAGGGGAGGGAGGATGTCAAGGAGAGGGAGGAAGGGAAGAGAGGCACGAGCAAGAAGAGGAGAAGCGAGAGGATGAGAGGGTGAGGATGTGAAAGAGCACCGACATGGCAGAAGAAAGGGCAGAAGGCAGCTGGAGAAGGGACTGCGACAAAAAGGCAATGCATTGTGCACCGCAGAAGAAAACAGCATGTTATTCGCACCGATGGGCAGCAACAATCTGCCACACACTCCAGGAATTGGAGGCATCCACACGTGCGCACACACACACACCACACACACACACACACACACACACACACACACACACACACACACACACACACACACACACACACAAGCCCCACCCCAACAATCTGCTGCCATGTGTCGAGTCGACCGTTGCTACTGCTGCCATTCCCTCCTACTCGCAGGGCACACACACACAAGGGGACAGATGCACGCACACAGAAGCGGCACAACAAGGGAGAATGTAATGGAGCTGGAGGACGGTGGTGGAGGCAAGGGCAAGAGACACGACTGTTGCCTCTGCGCGGCGACGCCCTACGACTCACTTCACTGCCCCCCTGCAAGCACCCCCTGGCACGTACCACACAACCGCCACCGTGTGTCTGCCTTTGATGTGCCAATGTGCCGTTGCTGCCCCTTCTCCTCGCTGAATGGTTGTCTCTCGTCCCAGCCAACAATGCAACAGAAGCACTGTCCACTCCATGCCATTCCCCTCCACCTCGCAGGTTGTGAGGCACACACACGCATGGGGAGAGAAAAGACGTACACAGAAGCGGCGCAAAAGGAAGGGTTAGGAGCAGCACGAGAGGAGGCGAGTGGGAGAGGCAAGGGCAAGAGATACGACTTTTGCCTCTGCGCGGCGACTCACTACACTGCCCCCCTGCAAGCACCCCCAGGCACGTACCATGCTCCAGCTAAACGTTTTCTCCTCCTTGGCAGAGCATGCGGCTCCTTGGCCACGCCTTCACCCCCTGCAGCACCCTGCTGCGGCCTGTGCTCCACGCTCCAGGCGTGCTGCTCTAGGTGGCTCGTCATCTGCTCTTGAGCCAAAACCAACCAGTGGCCAGATTTCAGAGGAGGAAGCGGTGAAGCACATGCAATACACATCAGGAGCGCTTGGCATCACATAAGGCAAAGCGTTCGAAGGAGAAAATACTTGGTGGAAAAGTCAAGGCGCGGTTGCTACTGCTGGTACAAGTCACCAGCGGTGCTGCACTCACCAACGTTGCTGCTGTATCTCAGGCAGGAAAACCCTGCAAGCTTGTGAACCCCCGTCCACTCCCTGCCATTCCCCTCCGCCTCACAGGCCGTGAAGCACACACACGATGGGAGAGACACACGCAGACACAAGCAGCACAACAAAGGAGTGTTAGAAGCAGCACGAGAGGAGGCGAGGGGTGGAGGTAAGGGCAACAGACATGACTCTTGCCTCTGCGCAGCAACGCCCTAGGACTCAGTACACTGCCCTCCTGGAAGTACTCACTAGCACGTACCATGACCCATTAGCCCCTCTGCTGCTCCTGCGCCTCGCCTTCTCTTGAGTTCGCCTCCAGTTTGCCTCCCGTGCGAGCCAGCAACAGCAGCCTCGTCCATTCCCGTTCGTTTCGCAGGCCATGAGGCACACACACGCACGGGGAGAGAGGCAGCGACAAAGAAACGTGCAACAAGAAATGGTTAGAAATAGCAACATGAGAGTGGTGGAGGAAAGGACGAGAAGACACGACTTTTGCCACTGCGCGGCGACGCTCTAGGACTCCCTACACTGCTCCCCGCAAGCACCCCCTGGCACATACCACGCTCCATTCACCGCTCTGCTGCTCCTGCGCCATGCGCTCACTTGAGGCGTGCTGCTCCTGGTCGCCCCTCATCCGCGCCAGCAATGCAAGTCCCGTGCATTCCTATCCACTCGCTGTCATTCCCGACCGTCTCGCAGGCCAAAAGGCACACACACGTATGGGGAGAGAGGCAGTTACACAAAAACGATGCAACAAGGGGGGGTTAGAAGCAGCAACAGGAGAGTGGTGGAGGCACGGACAAGAAGACAAGACTCTTGCCTCTGCGCGGCGATGCTCTAGGACTCACTACACTGTCCCCCCGCAAGCACCCACTGGCACGTACCATGTTCCTTTCGCCGCTCTGCCACTCCTACGCCACGCCTTCTGCTCCAGGCTGTTTCTTGTGCCCCGTCCACTCCGCGTCCACTCCGCGTCCACTCCGCGTCCACTCCGCGTCCACCCCGCGTCCACTCCGCGTCCACTCCGCGTCCACTCCGCGTCCACCCCGCGTCCACTCCGCGTCCAATCCATGCCATTCCCCTCCACCTCGCAGGCCGTGAGGCACACACACGCGTGGGGAGAGAAAACACGCACACATAGGGAAGCGTTAGGAGCAGCACGAGAGGAGACGAGCGGCGGAGGCAACGGCAAGAGACACGACTGTTGCCTCTGCGCGGCGACTCACTTCGCTGCCCCCCTGCAAGCACCCCCTGGCACATACCTCGCTCCGCCCGCTGCACTGCCACTCCTGCGCCACGCCTTGAGCCCCGAGCAGCACCACCCTGCTGCTGTCCGTGCTCCAGGCTGTCCGTCCATTGCCGCTGCTGCTTACGCTCCTCCTCTTTCCGTTCCTCCAGCTGCTGTCGTTGCTCTCGTCGCGACCCCCTCCGCGTCGCTGCCTGTGACGCTCCTGAAAAACACTGACCGTCCACACCATGCCGCACGGCCACTCACGCACAGATTTGGACCACACGCAGACACTCGCAGACTCACACGCACATGCACAAACAAAACACAGAAAGGAGGACAACAGGAACTGGGTTAGTTGAAGCAGATGAAGAGCAAGAGAGCAAGTCAGCAAGCAACTGACTGACGACTCTGCGCTGGCGGCGCTCTACGACCTACTCTCCCCCCGAGCAGCTCCTCCAATGTAACTCACCAGGCCACGCCCGGTCCGCTCTCCTCGTGTGCGCGACAGCATGTTGTGAGGCGCAGCAGCCACCACCACCGCACCACGAGACTCTGCTGACTGCCAGAAAGTTGCGTGGCAATGAAGCTTCATCGTTTTGTTTCGCCTCTCGTCCCGAGTCGACGACCATGTGGTCGGCCACTGTCTGCGGCTCTGGGAGCGACGGCGATAGCCAGAAGAAGAGAGCAACGGTGGAACCGGAGAGAACGGCGGAAGCGGAAAGCGACGGAAGAAGCGGCGAGGGACGGCGGAGGCGGAGAACGAAGGCGACAACCGGTAGGTTGTCGTCGGGTCGGCGACGGACAGCGGACAGCGGGCTATCCATGGTCAGAGGTGGAGGTGATTTTTGAGTTGACTTGAGTAACATTTTGTCTGTGCACGAGCGAAGTCGAGAAAACTGGGCGAGCGACGCTTCTATACTTGACGAAACAGCCGCTGGAGCGAAGAAAAGGACCGGCTGCGACTATACGAAGAACGTAACGAACATTAGCGCCTGTCGCAAGCGCCAGGAGTCCTGACATCCGCCTAACGCCTGTCGTCATGATTCTTAATATCCGCCTCTGTCGTGACAACAGTCTAACTATCTCCGTTAATGTATGTCTTGACACCCGCATTAGGATCTGCAATCATCCTGGCTACACACAACTAATCATAGTATCAGCTGTGTCAGAAGGCCATGAAGTCGAGACCGACCGCTAACAAGAAAAAAGGCTGCGAAGGCCTGGCAACAAAAGAGAACCCTAAAGGGAGTTCCAGTGTACGGTTTCTCCTTGCACCAACTCGTCTTCGTTCAGAGCGCAAAGTTCTCTGGCTTGGCAAAACACGAGGCGGCGGGAATGCTGTGTGGCTGGGAATGCTGAAAGTCGCCTCGCCTGATTACGGCGAGCTCAAGGGAAGGGAAATGCAGCAGTTTGGGGATATGGATAAGATACAAAAGTTTCAACCGAGCGCATTGCGGGGATTGGCTGGGCGAGGCGGTGTCAGGTTCAGACAGGTGAAGTTTGAACCGTTTTGGAGGGAAAATCGGAGGGGGAACTTTGTTGCGGTAAACGGAGACAAGGTGGTTCGATATTATCTAAACGCTGGTGTGCGGACGTAGTGCTGGAAATTGGATCAAGTGTAGGACATATCCATAATGCATTATTCTGCATATTTTGGTCACACTCTCAGAGCCCCTCCCGCACAACATTAGACAAAGCACCACTCCACAGTCGGACTTCGCACACAACCATGACCGCTGTTTCTCCAATCCCTACAAAGTCTATTGTTGTATCTATGGCTTGCCTCCTTCGGCCGCTGCATCTGCCTCACGGAAAGTATTTTCCGGCCACTGCCATGTTCGCGCGCGCGTGCTTCACAACTGCCCGCTCCCCGTCTCTTTCTCGAGACCCGTCTCTAGTCAAGCCTCCCTCACGCCACCCTCTCTCGTCGCCTCTACGGTCATCAACAGCAGCAGCAGACGGGACGGCAGCTGCCATAAACGCGTGCCAAGGACCTTCGCGCATAAGTTGCGAAGGCGCTAACTCCCTGTATGGCCCTTTGAAACCGCTCGTTAGAATTACTGCGTCCGCCCGGCTATCCAGGAGAAGCAGTAGCATCGCGTCGTGCGCGGATCGGATTGAGGTTGCCAGCGCAATTGCGGCTGTAGCGCGTTGTGGGCCCAGCCTCAGCCGTTCCCGCTGGCGCGGAGAAGAGAGCCGGCCAGCCTGGGAGTCGAGACGGGAAGTCCGGCCTGTTGCGACGTCGGCGGTGGTGCCGCGGCAGCAGGAGGCGGAGGTGGCGCAAGTGGAAGCGAAAACGGGGAGAGACGCGGAGGATGGGGGAAGCACAGGGATGAGGTCGACAGGTGATAGCGGAGGAAGCGAGGCTGGCGGTATTGACGCGACTGAGGTCAGTAGTGGGTCAATTCTAAGGGCCTCGAAAACCGCGAAAATCTCTCGCTAATTTGAGAATCCCCAGTCGCGAGTGCAAAATTTCCCATTTCCGCTCCCTCACAGCTTCCCTTCTTCTCCTTCCCTCCCCCCTCCCCCTCCCTTACCCCCTTCCCAACCTCCTGCTGCTGTGGGCTCCACGTGTCAGGCGGCGGTAATGGCGGCGCTCGAGCAAGGCCTGGGGGGGCCGTTGAGCAGAGAGGCAGTGGTGCCGCCGCCACAGCCGCTGGTGGTGGTGATCAGCGGGCCCAGCGGCGTGGGGAAAGACGCTGTCATCAAGGTACCCGCCGGCCCAGCGAACCGTTGCTGCCTGTCGGAATTTCTCTTGTTTCCCTTACCAACACGCATCCCCCCAACTCTTCCCCCCCCCCCCACCCCAACTCCTCCGTCCATTCTCCTCTCCCGCTCACCCCTTCTACCCCATCACTTCTGTCTGCACTTCCTTCGTTCCCCTCCTTCCGTTCTCCGTTTTTCCCTCCGCTAGAAATATTCCTTTGCCCAGACTCTCTCTCTCCTTCCTTCCTTCTCTTTCTTTAAGCTCGAGATTCGTGAGCCATGCCAACACAAGTGCATGCCAATACCCTGATCGCTCACTCACATTCCCCTCCCCCACATCCTCTAACGTGTACATTCATGGTGGTGTGTGCATGCGTGCATGACACCCTAACCTCCAGTGCCTGCAAGAAACCCGCCCTGACATCCATTTTGTCGTCACGGCAACATCCCGGGAGCGCAGAGCAGGCGAGGTGGACGGCAAGGATTACATCTTCGTGTCGCGCGAGGAGTTTGAGGCGATGAGGGATGGGGGAGAGCTGCTGGAGCATGCTGTGGTGTACGGCGAGTACAAGGGCATCCCCAAGAAACAGGTGCGGCAAGCACAATGTGTGGTGCTGCTGTGCTGAGTGGCCTGGGAAGGGCGAGCTGGTGAGCATACTCCTGCAACTCCTGGTGCAATTCTGAAGCATCTCCTCGTGTGTCCCCCGTGCAGGTGCGAGACTCATTGGCGCGTGGCACAGATGTAGTGCTGCGGATAGACGTGCAGGGAGCAGCCACTATGCGCTCTCTCCTCGGGTCCTCTGCTGTGTTTGTCTTCCTAGTGGCTGAGACAGAACATGCGTTGGTGCAGCGCCTGGTGCGCAGGAAGAGTGAGTCTGTGGAAAAACTACTGGTGCGCGTAGGCACGGCACGAGAGGAGCTGGGGCGGCGAGGGGAGTTTGACTATGTGGTGGTGAATGCTGATGGGCAGCTGGAGGAAACTGTCAGCACGCTGTGTTCAATCATTGACGCTGAGAAGCTTAGAGCGCATCGCCCTTCTTTGCTAGAGCTGTGACTGCATGTAGTGGCATGTCTATGGTGCTGGTCTAGTGAGAAGTGAGAGGAATCTGGTGGTGTATCTAGGTGCAGTCTTGTTGCTTGTTAATGTATGCAGGCAGGTTAGTGGGAAGTGTCCTGGAATATATGTAAGGTTACCTCTGTTTAGTCGTGCTGATTTCATGCACACCTCGTCTCAACATTGTTGTGTTAGTGATATGAAGAATTAATGCATCGATTTCAATGATACTTCTTTTGACAGCCTGGTTGCCACGCTAGCATGCTATAGGGTTAGATGCATCTTGCATTGACGTGGTTACTACAAGAATGTCATTCTGCCAAGGGCTGGCTCGGCTCGGGCAGGAAACACGTTGGCTTCATCCACCTGGAAGCAAAGCGTGGTGTCATTCAGCCACGCCATCACCTTCGCGTGCCAGTTCAGCCTTCAGCATTAGCTGGGCACGATTCAAGAGCCAACCTACACCACCGGTTCGTGGCAGAGTAAAGCACCTGCGGACCCAAATCTTTTGCGAAGCGTTCGCGAATTGTCTTGACGAATCAGAGAATTTCGTCACAACTAACTGACGTTCGGCGACCCCATCCGAAACTTGCGCACAGTCTCACGCGGTTTCCGCCAAGCACGATTCCTTCCGCCTTGCGTACCAAGACCCGCGTAGCCCCGTCTCTTCCCCCCGTCCTTGTTCCCCTCTCGTGTTTCCTAAGAGCCGCCATATCTCTCCAATCAGACATTCCGACCAGTGTGCTATCCATAGCTCTGCTTCCCTTCGTTCTGCTGCTGCCTCCGCCATACATTCAATTTCGTCCTTGACCCACTAAACCACGTCCTTAATTCTATTATGGCGTTCGCTGCGCACGCGGCTCACCAATTGGCGGCTTCCTCCAGCTTTCTGGCTGGGTCGTCTCTACCTTTTAACAGCAGAAAGTTCGCCAACAGGAGCGTTCGGCCCTCTTTGACCGTCAGAGCAAATGGTTAGTCGAATTCCAACAATCCTAAGGTATTACTTTGGATTACTTCTGTCTTGAAGCTTGATTTTTTTTCTCGGAGTAATTTTTGTTGACTTATGAAGCACGTCACGTTGAGCTCCGTTCCTTGTAAGGCCTCACTAATTGAGGGAGCCCAGTCTTGCTGTCTTTGAACTACTTCCAAGCGCTCAACGTTCATTTTGCAATTAGACAATGATAGCGTAGTCATCATTCAACATAGAAACCTGTTGTTTTTGGCAGTGGACGTCAGCCCGGAGGACCATGCTTTGGAGATCATGCGGAAGTTCAGCGAGCAGTACGCGCGACGCACGGGCACGTATTTCTGCGTTGATAAGGGTGTGACGTCCGTTGTGATTAAGGTACATCCAGCCAAATGACATCCAATTCGTCGTTTAACAATTTCTACCTGCTCGTGTTTTGCGTGTAAGGCCTGTAAAATGAGAGATGTGGCTCTTGATGTTTATAGTTCGGACATTCGTGATAGTCTATCAGTGTTCTCAACCAGGACTCAATTCGGTTCTGTTTTGCAGGGATTGGCAGAGCATAAGGACACTCTCGGAGCGCCGTTGTGCCCGTGCAGGTGCGTGTCGTAACTGTAGTGGAGTCGGTTTTTCCGTGCTGAAGTATTCCCCCCCCCCCACCCCTCCCTCTCCCTCCCCCCCCTCTGTTTTTTGTATCAGACCACCTTTCCTCATTTGTTCTGCCCCTGGTCCGGTCAATATCGTATCCCTGCCAAGGCCTGTCGATTTCAAAATTTCTGTTCCTGGTGTGCAGGCACTATGACGACAAGGTGGCTGAGGCGCAACAAGGCTTTTGGAATTGCCCATGTGTGCCGATGAGGGAGAGGTGAGAGGAATCGTAGTTGCTGGTGTGTAGTGCCTGACAATGCCCCATTCGACGGTTCATTGTTGCTATAGATGACACGGTGGTTATGCAATGGCAGGTCATTTGACCAGCCCTTAAATTGTCTCTTTGAAACCATGTTGCGTGTGCTTGCAGGAAGGAGTGCCACTGCATGCTCTTTCTCACGGAGGACAATGACTTCGCTGGCAGAGAGCAGGTTGGATTCCTACCTTTCCTGAGTCCTTCCATGTTTTCCAGTGTCAGTGTTGGCTGGAATTTAGAACATGGCAATTGTGAAAAAATTCCATTGCACGATTGTTTTTTTTTTTTCCTGTTATTGTTTGAACAGGCTATCACTTTGAACGAGATCAAGGACTTCACAGCTGGTTTCTAGCTTCAATGCTGCTGTATTTTGTGATTTGGATTTCAATTATATCTTCAATGAAGCAGTTGCGTCACTACCTGGCCTGCAGAGCTGTAGAAACAGTTTGTTCTCAAATTCTTGAATTGCTTTATATAAGTGTTGTCCGACACAGGGTTGAGGAAATGGAAAGCGTCTGGATAGATTTCAGCTTGATACATACAGGTGGTGGACGAACAGTGTCACCAAGTTGGTCACATCTGCAGTCACTTGAGAAGCAGAGTGTGTCCAGATAATGAAATGTGAGAAGAGGCTTCTGTAGCGCGGCAAATACCTCTGATGTTCGAATGTACACTATACCTTGGGTTTTACATGCTGCAAAACATCCTGAGGGCTGATCGTAGCCCAACATGGGCTTATAAACCAAACTTCTGACATTCACCAGTCAAGACTGTAACATCTTGCGGGTGTGGTTCAGGAGATGACGAAGATCAACAACTAGGTGATACTCATGAACCTGGGAGATTCTACAGGCACTCGGCCTTGAAGACAATGCTCAGGTTCAGGTTGTAGGGAAAGCCACACTAGTCACGACACAACGCTCTTCACAGACATAAAAGCGCTACAGATGCATATATAGGAAATTCGTATCACTCTGACGGCTTCTTGCTGTCGGTGTTGCCTGCCTGCGTGGCTCTCGGGGTGGAGGGAATGAGGCTGAAGCTGGTGGAGTGGGAGGAGGGGAAGTCCATGGATGGAGCAAAGGAGGAGCCTGCAGCACGGATGCGCGCACCCACAATCCACCACAGGTCGTCTGCCAGTACAAGAGGAGCGCACAGTGGGAAGCCCGGGCACGAATTTTTTTAGGAAAATGGATGTCAAGCGGAAGGGTGGAGAAGGGGTTTTAAAGGGAGGTGCACAGGAGCAACAAAAACAGTGGGGCCGAGTTTCGTATGGAGGAGGTTCATGAAGGGTGGATTTCATGAAGAGTTTAAAGGGCGGTGACTTACATGGGGGAAATAAATGGGAGGAAATGAATACATAGGGGGGGGAGGGGGTAGATTCACAGGGGGGGGTCTATGAAGGGTAATTTCCGCAAGGGGTTAAGTTTTCTGGAGCGAAATTCATTTGAAATGAGCCTCATGAAAGGTGAACTACCATGAGGAAATAGGCAGGCATACAAGCAAACAAACCACCTGTGAAACCATAACAGCCCATCCATTACAATCCACCACCACACCGAAATGCAACTCACTTGCTCCGCCTTGCGAGTCTCCTTCTAGAGCCTCTGCTGCCTCGCCAATGCCGGCGCTGCTGCCCCTCCCACTGCTGCTCCGCTGCATCACCCTCGCCCTCTCCACCGCCTGCCGCTCCGCCTTCTCCCGCACTTTGTTCCTCTCCCTCCGAGGCGACCGCGATCGTGGACTCTGCTGCCCAATCTCGCCCCCGCCCCCTGCCGCCCAATACTCACCCGCCACTCCTGCAGCCTCCTCGTCTAACCCACTGCCATCTCCCGCCCCTCCCGCCCCTGCAGTGCTGCTACTCAACGCCCCTGCAGCAGCCATGGGGGTGGTGGTGCCAGAGGTTTGTGGCGACCCAGGGGTGCGGGCAGAGCCCGGCGTGCCAGGGCGTAGGGGCGAGGAGAGAGCACCCCATATGCTACTCGTATCGGCACTCGGGGTGTTAGCTGCCACGGAACGATGTCTGGCGGTTTGGTCTCCCCTTCCTGGACTCACAGTGGCGCTGCTGCTGCTGCTGCTGTTGATGATGTTACTGTTATTGCTGGCAGAGGTGGGTTGGGGGCTTAATTGACTGCTACCTAGTCTACCTCCACTCCCGCCTCTCCTGCCTCTGCTTCTCCCTCCGCTGCACCCGCCTCCTCCCTGCCGCCGCCACTTCTGCTGCGGCTGCTCCTGAGCCAGCTGCGCGCTGCCCTCCCGACCCTGCTCCTGCTCCTGCTGCCGCTGCTGCTGCTGCCACTTACTGCGCCTGGGACTAGACTTAGGGGACTTGTCCTGAGACTCCTGAGACGACTGGCCAAAGCTAAAGGGCGATAGAGCGCTGCCAGGAGCAGCAGAAGAACCTGCAGCCGCAGCTGCCGCTGCCGCCGCTGCTGTTGCGGCCGTCCTTGAAGCAGGGGATTCCGAGACATGGGAGGCGGAAGAGGAGGAAGACGAAGAGGAGGGGGTGGAGGGGTCTCCCCGGGAGCAGAAAGCGCGAACAGCCTCATCCTGGGAGGCATTGCAGAAGGGGCCGAGAGCCGGGGCGAATATGGCGTGGCGCAGCATGCGGGGCAGGCGCGAGGTGACGAGGCGCGTGCGCGTGCCGGGGAACTTTCCGAGAAAGAGCTGGAAGGAGGAGAAGCGGAGCGTGGCGGAGGAGGCGTGGCGGGAGGAGACGAGCGGCGGGCAGCGGGCGACGAGGAAGCCTGAGAGGTCGAAGATGGGCATCACGCCTATGCTGCTCGGTGAGTGGTTGAGGGGCAGGGAGTGAGTGCGGGAGAATATGAGTGGCGGTGGCCCACGAGGACATGACATATCTTAGAAATAAAGTGAAGGAGGGGAATGGTGGGGAAGGAAGAGGGGGAGAGGGGAAGGGAGAGAGAAGCAGAAGGAGAAGAAGAAGAAAAAAAGGGAGCGCGGGAGGCAAGGCAACGCACCCTTGACAGAACCAGCAGGGCTCGTTGGTGGCGGAGGGCGCAGGGCGCAGCAGGCGCGACCAGGCCTGCGACGGCGAGAGCAGCCCCGACCCCTTGCAGCGCGGGCAGTGCAGGCGATCGCCGTCCAGCCGGTCCAATAACCCGAACGCCGCCTTCGCCGTCGCCTGATGGGCGCCACACGGTACAGCACGGTACAGCACGGTACAGCGCGGCACGGCACGGCACGGCGCGGTGAGGGGAGAGAATGGAAGGTGGAAAGGGGGCGACGGCAGGCACGGGAAGGGAGGACGGAGGGTTGTTATGTGTGTACACGTGAGCGAGTGAGAGACGGGAACGAAAAATAAGGGGTGGAGGGAGCTGGGGAAGGGAAAGGGGTGGTCAACAGCGAGGACGTGGAGATAGAGCGGCGGGGAGCGTCTCTGAAAAGGGCAGAGACGAGACGAAGTGACGGACTGAGGCCGGGAAGGGGAACGGGGGAGGGGGCAAAGGGAAGGATAAAGAGGTGGACGAAACGCGTTCGACCGTCGCACCAAGTCCTTGTTCGGTCGTGCATAAGTGTCTGAAGCCATCACATACGTTTCTATGATTTAGTAGTTTCCTTGATTTAGTGGTTTCCTTGATTTAGTAATTTCCTTGCTAGTAGCGTTATCCTCGAGAAGCATGTGGCCTACACTGTTAATGTCGTCTGAGCCATGCCATGCGACGACACGCGACGACATGCGATGACATGCGATGACATGCGAAGACATGCCACAACGTGCCACCGTATGCCACACGCCACACCACGCGACAGACAAACTGCTCCCCGCCATGCTCATCTCTGCTGTTCCGTGGCTGCGATCAAGCCGCTGACTTGCTTTAGCACCCACTCGCCACCGCCACCACCGCCGCTTTCTCAAACCCGGGCCTCCACAACCGCCCCACCTCTCCGGCGCTCTAACGGCCTGGCAAGCCACACCGGCGCTCTAACGGCACTTTGACTCGCTTTAACTCGCTTGCTTTGACCAGCTTCCGCTTTGACTAGCTTTGACTCGACTCAGGGCTCACCAGCGCGCGGACCTTCACCGCATTCGCAACTCCGCCGATCGCCACTGCGCCGTCCATCACTCCGCGTTGGATCCGCGCGGGAGCCTCCTCCGCCCCCCGCTGCAGCGGACCCACTAATCCCCGCGCGGTCGCTTCCGTGCGCGTCACGGCATCTCGCCACATCAGCTCCCACTCTCCCTGCGGATTACCACCCGATGCCGCCGCAGACGGCGACAGCGGCGGTTTCGGCGAGCTTCCAGGCGCCGCGGTCGCGGAGAACGGTCGGCGGCCGGCGGAGGGGGAGTTACGTCCCCCTAGCCCTCCCCCGAGAGTGGCGCGAGGGAAATTCTTCCCCCGGGATGGGGAGGCGGAGGAGGCAGCGGGGGAAGGCGGGCCGATAGTTATCGTGGTAGAGTGGGCGAGAGAAGGCGACGCGGACATAGAAGCGCCGGCGGCTGATCCTGTGGAAGCGAGGCGCCTTAACGGAAGATTGCGCGGACTACGGGAACGGGAGGGAGACTGCTGGCGAGATAACTGCTTCGCGTGCTTCGCGCGGTTGCTGCTAATGCCGACGCGCGGAGTGCCCCCATCCCTCCCTGTGAATCCCTCTGCTGCATCGCCGAGCCCTTCCGGATCCGTGCGAAGCACGAAAACGGGTTCCCCAGCTGTCATCCCGATGCACCGACAGAATCAGACGAATTTTGAAAAGAAATTCGTTGCTGATAACGCTTACACTCGTGGCGTGTGTGATGGCTGCAACTGGCAGCAGCTGAGATAAAAAAAGCTCGAACGCCTACCTTGGAGCGGAAACACTAACTAAAACAAGCAAGCGCTCAAGCACGAGAAACCTGTCTAAAAAAACTAGCGAAGGGAGCCTCGAGGTTGGATTGGATGGGTTGGAAATGGAGTGGCGTGTCATCGACTCAGGGGAGTCATGGCATGGTGGGAGGAGCAGCCTAGCCTAGCCCACTCCCTAGGTTCCCGTTTTGTCCGTCTTGTTCCGTTCCGTTCCGTTCCCTCTCACCCACCCAGACAGGTGCACAGACCCGACGCAGCGCAACTTGCCAGTCGGTCCCATCAAATCACGATGAGCGGCTCACGGCTCTCGTCACGATTCACGAAAGCTGCTCGCGCAGGCTCCCCTCGATCTTCCGCCACTACGCGGAAAGGGGTGCTTCCTTGGCGCACGTTTAAGCGGCGGAGCGGAGTCTCCAGGGGGAAATGCTCCCCCACACACACGGAGAACTTGGTGGTTGCACTTGGTTTGGTGCGGCAAGAGTTTAGGTGTCACGGGGGCAGCAAGGCGACGAGCGCCACATGAGTTGCCACGTGTAAGGGCTAAGCATTTTCCCGCCAGTGCGATTGGTTTGGGAGTTCGCTTCTGGAAACCCGCATTTTGAAATATGACTCGTTCGAGTCTTGCTGGAAAATAGCACTGCAGTGCAGTGTAGGATAGGTACAATACAAACTCATGTAATGGGAGCATCAGAATGTTCATAACGTGAAAGTGACAAATTCGTGGAGCACGGAAGTGACTGAGCCGAGACTGTTGCTTTTCATGATCCGACAACCCGTCTGTTGCTATCCCTCAACTGCTAGTGTGTGACGATCAACGCAGAAATGGGTCGTGGAGGTGGTGAGATTGAGAGCACAGCTGATGCGGAATGTTCACTCGAGCTTCGTCCAGCCACCGTGGCCGACTATGAGCACTACGTTTCCTTCTTTCCGGACCTGTCAATGCCTCCGTCACTGCTACTGCCTTTCGATACGTGGCAGCGGGACCTAGCGCCGTCGACGTATTTCCTCGTGAGCACTGCCGGAGCCAAGGCGCCTGGCGGTGACGCTGAGCTGAATGGGCCGAGTGACGGGGCCCCTCTTGCGTACGTCTACGTGGAGACGCTGCGAGACTCGGCGTTCATTCGCCATATCGTCGTCCACCGCGGTACGCCGTCGCATTGCTGTGCCTCCTCTGCAGCAGCTGTCGCTGCTGCTGCGCGTATGTGATACCTCCACTGCGCGTATACGTTTCCTGCATTGTCTCGCCTTTCCTCTCCACTACTCAACGAACCCCTTGTTCCCCTCTCCTCCTTTCCCCTCCCCACCCTACCCGTCCCCATTTCTCCACCCCCCTGCGGCTCTCCCCCCTCACCCTTTCCCCCTTTCCGTCATCTCCCTCCTGATCCCTCTGCTCTGTCGAACGCCAGAGAAGCGCAGGCAAGGCATGGGGACGAAGCTGATGCAAGCTCTAGCGGCGAGGCTGGCAGCAGCAGGGTGCAGGCAGTGGCGCCTCAACGTCTTCCCCTCCAACACCGCCGCCGTCCGCCTCTACTCCCGCCTCGGCCTCTCGCCCGTACATTCCGGCAGCTGCCTTTTGATTCTCTGGAAACACTCTTACTGCGTTATCAGAAGTGCTCTGTTCCGTGTAACGACGAGAAGGCTGTAGAGGCGAGTCTTGAATGCAAGGCAGGGTCATGTGCAGGAAAGGACAGGTGCGGTGGGAGTCCAAAGGACGATGGATCAAGCAGCATGTGCTGTGCAGGAAGGATGTCGGGTGAACGGACAGAGCCAGACGGACAGCTGAGGGAGGATTCAGGTGATGGGTCAGGGATTGAGAGGGTGAGGGTGGGCGAGATTGAGGTAGAGGAGGAGGAGCAGGTAGAGCGGGAAATGGGGTTACCGCTGGGGATGTTGCAACGATTTAGGGCACTTACAGGTACTGTGCTAGCCAAGGCTATGGAGCATTGTGAATGTGAGGAAGGACCTGAAGATAGTGGTGTCAATGACCCACGCACGAGAGGCATTGACGAGAATGCTTTGCGAGTGGTTGGTCTAGCGGTCTACCAGGAGAGCTATGGTGGATTCAAGGTCTTTCGTGCTTCGTCTCCGGCAGTAGCTGAGAAGTTGCTGGAGTGGTTTGGTGTGCAGCTTGGTTGCAATGATGGCGTATGCACACTGCTGGTGGAAGCTTGTGATGATGTGGTGCAATGGCTGAAAGCCATGGGTGCAACCACAAGGTATGAAACTCTCCAAATGGTTGGAAATGTGCAGAAGATTGCATGAAGCGTAGAGGTGGAAGTATATGTTATTTGGCTAGGAATTGACATAGGTACGGTAGTAATCCGTTTTAGCCCCTACAGATTGACTCTGTTCACTTTACAAGAACCAAGTCCTTGCAATTCTTGGGCATATCACCGACACGAACCCTCCTACCCATTCTGTGAATCCGTGCAAAGAAAGCTGGGGTGGGGAGGATGTCCCTTGGAGCCGACCATCAGCATGCGACGCGACTTGTTCAACAGAAACCGAAATCTTGGCGAGTTTCGTTTCGTTTCGACTCATTAGCTTTCTTCTTCTGCCCTTGGCTTCCACGTTACTCCTAGTAACTAGGGAAACTATATTCCAGGTCCATACTTTCAGATTTCTCTCAAATTTAGCCCCAGGTTTACTAAAAAAGTACTACTTTCTAGAATTTCGCTCACGCGAGGCCCAAAGTATGTTCAAAACTGGTCCTGCGGGGCGAAATTTTCGACACGTGTTCAATTTCGCTTGGAAAATTTTTCGACGGGGCAAAAAAATAATAAAACCCCTCGGGAACTAGGGCACATTTGCGGGAGGGATCAACCCTAAACACCAAGCGGGTCCCCGTGTTTTGGGTTGGTCCCTCCCGAACGTGTGTCCTAGTTCCCCTAGGGGTTTTATGTTTTTTGCCCCCGTCAGAAATTGCTAATACGAAATAGGACACGTGTCGAAAAGTTTGCCCCGCAGGACCAGTTTTGAACATAATCTGGGCCTCGCGTGAGCAAACTTCCAGAAAGCTGTACTTTTTGAGTGAACTTAAGACTAAATTTGAGATATTTTTGAAACTATGGAGCTGGGATATACTTTCCCTAGTAACTACCCTTTCCACGGTACGCACGACAGTTTGCGACACACGCTGGAAATGTACTGCATTGCAAGTGAGAAAAAGGCCCTGTACTTTATTCGTTCGACCTGCCCGGACAGCTGAACCACCGGCCGACACATCACAGAGCAAATCATAGTCGACCAACCACAGTGCTCAATCTGCCCGAGCAGACGCCGTTTTCGAAAAGGGGGCTGTTTTCACATGGAACAAGAGGGAGAAGGGCGGGGGACGAGGAGAGGTAGCGTAGCATATCGTGCAGCGTGCATGCGACGCGAATTGGAAAAGAAATCCGGACGCGTTTCTGGCGGGGTTACCCTCGCTGTCGAACAAGGCCGTGGTGAGGTGAGGCGACGGGGCGAGCGAGGAAGCAAGCAATAAACACAAGCAGCAGCTACCCCCACTGCCCAGCCCACGCGGCTCCTTGCGAGGTCAGATCAGAACAAAGTCACCACCGATTGGCAGCCATCACCGTTATTTTCCTGGCGTTCCTTTGTACGTTTCTGTAGTTAACTAATCTGATGCTTGAAATAGCTCCATCCAGCCCCAGCCGCACTGCAACCGCCACCACGATCCGTGTCCGTAATCCCCTCGACGTTCCACCCAGAGCGGCGTAATCCCGCAGGGCGACGACGACGAGGGCAACGACAACGAAAGTGTAACGTATTACCCTAACTACCGAGCTAACAACCATCGATCTCTCTCTAAGTCAATTGTTGAGAACTTCTCTCGACAAAGGAAGAGTTGGAGAAGATGGTTGAGTTGGTTGGGATGAAACTTGGTTTGGGTTTGCCAAGCCTCAACTTTGGAGGTTTGGAACATTTCCAACTCAACCAAGAGAATGTTGAAGGTTGGAATTCCAACCAATCAGAAACTGCCAAACAAGTGTTACAATCTACTCTATCCTAAACACAACCATTGAATGGTTCTAAGTTGGGTTTTCCAACCCAACACAATTGCCACATAGGCTCCAAGCCTAGGAACCATCCCACCATGGAAACCATGGTTGGGATAGTTCCCCAAGGGGTGTATTGAGGGGGTCTGAGCTAAGCAAGCTCATTCTCAACCTCCCACTCCAACAAAACAATTGGAAATGGGATTGTTTCTCTAAGTCCTTTTGGGCTCTCTCACAAGTCTCCCTACACTACTACTCCAAGTGCTTTTCATCAAAGGCATCAAGAAGATCTTCATCTCCAAGGCTATTAAGGCTAGTTAAAGCTACTATTTTGTATTGGAATATTATAAAAGCCTTGTAACCGCCATTATAATAGCCCTGGGCATTACATTGGTATCTAGAGCAAGGTTCTTCCTTGGCCTTGTGTGGCCATTTGCTACTTGGACTATTTTTTTTTAGAGGATCCTAGCTTGTGGATCCAGGATTTCATCCAAGGAGCTATCAAGATCTTTGAAGACTTTGAAGAAATTTCAAGATCTACAAGTGGTTCTTCAAGATCTACAAAAGCTTCTACAAGATCTCCAAGCTTCAAGCTTCAATCTCCTCAACACACCATTGGAGATTCAAGATCTACAAGGAGCTCATTTTTCTTCATCAACATTGAGAAGAAATTTGAAGAGATTAATTTCTCTTACCCACCTTTGGTGGAAGACTCTTGATCTACTTTGTGTAGAAGAGTGTACCTTCAGATCTATAAAGGGCTTGTTGAGGATTACTCTCTTGAGTATATCTTGCTCTATCATTGAGGTGATAGAGAGATTTGGCAAACAAGTCTATCTTAAGAGATTCTGTATTGGATTATTCTATAAGAGTAATCAGATTTCTTAAAGATTATTATAAGATCTATTGAGATCTCCTCTCCTTAACCTGTTTCATGGCTGCTGGTCAAGAGATGGATGCTACTAAGGAGGTGCCCGTTGTTGGCACTGAGGGAGATAATGCTGCTGCTGCTGCTGCTGACATTGATCTCAACCTTGAGGATTTCGTGGTTGACATGGAGATCAATGGAAGTGAAGCTGACCTTGAGGCTGATGCTGAAAATGAGGAAGAGGCTGGCTCTGATGAGGGTGTTTCCAATGAAACTGAGAACATTGCTGTCAAGCTCCAGACTCAACTCACAGAGCAGAATATTCTCATTGGAGTGCAACAGTGTCGTATCCAGAACTTGGAGGCTGATTCTGTTAAGCTTCAGGCCTTGATTGAGCAGCTGACCAGGGAGGTGCAGTTGATCCCTAAGGAAAACGACACCTCCAGCCTCATTCAGGACCTGCACAACACTCTTCAGTTCGTGCAGGATCAGCTCAAGAAGCAGGAGAAAAGCATCTCTGTGCTTCAGACCCAGTACAGGGAGATCCGGCGTGAAAACCTCTACCAGCCTGCTCCTGCAGCAGAGCGAGTCGCCAACGCCGCTAACAGCCGTGCTGCACCTGCTGATGCACCTCCTGCTGTTCCTCCTCCTACTGGAGCACGTGCTGAGCCTCCTACTGCAGCAGCAACTGCCTTTGGCTCCTGCCCTTCGGCCCTGCCTCGTTTTGTCCATGGCAAGACCGACGTCGAGACTTGGCTCTCCATTGCGGAGGAATTTATGTCCATCCACAATGTGCGTAGCGAGGCTCGTGTGGTCGCTGCAACCCTTGCCCTGGACGACACTGCGAGCAAGTTGGTGTATGCCAACAAGCGCCACGCAGAGGCTAATGGCCATCCTTTTGGCTGGGAGGAGTTCAAAGCTGCCATGCTGGCGGCATTCCTGAGTCAGCCCCCGGCGCTCGAGGTGCGTAGCCGCCTGGAGAACATCCAGTGCGGTGACCAGCCTGTACGCGAGTACGCCAAGGAGTTTGAGAAAACTCTGTCGCTGCTGAAGACTGCTCTTCCTGAGAGCGAGGTCATCCACCAGTTCTTCAAGGGTCTCCCTGAGCACATCAAGCGTGTGCATGTTGTGCGCGGGGAGCACCAGTGGAGGACCTACAAGGAGTGCAAGGAGCAGGTCATTGACACGGATGTGAATTTCCGTGCGTACATGACTCACGCTCGTGCTCAGCAGCAGCCTAGTGCCGAAGGCCCTAGGGGGGGTGGTAACAGGACTCAGGCACACAGGGGCAGTGGCTCTTGGAAGAGGCCCTATCAGCAGAAGGGGGAATCCTCTGGGACTCAGTCCAAGAGGGCCCATGCTGGGCCTGCCAAGGATCCTCAGGATGAGGATAAGTCCCCGGCAGGCTGCCGCATCTGTGGCAAGCTCGGGCACAAGTCCTATCACTGCCGTTGGAGGAAGTCCGTCAAGAACTCCGGCAAGCCCAACCAGGGCAAGAAGCCGGATGGTTCTGGCCCTTCGGGCCCGAAGGATTTTCCGAAGTCCAACTAGGGGGTGGGTACCTAGTTGGTGTGCGAGATCGAGTAGATGAGGCTTATGTCCTTCGTGATGAGGATTTGCTAAAGCTAGAGAAGCTTGCATCATGCAAAATCGCTTGTTTGTATGCCTCTTCTATTAATGAAAAATCTGTTTTTAAAACTCGATCATACCCACTTGAAAACATCTCAATTGAATCCTTGAGAGATAAATTTTCAATCATCTCTTGCTCGTTCAACGAGTTGCCAGCAATCATGGATATTGTGGACCGTTGTGTCCAAGAGCACCCGCTCACGTCAGTGGGATTGGTGACTCGAATCGTGAAAGGAGAGTTGTTCCGCCGATTTCACGAATGACATATCCTGGCAACATGGGACAAGGGGCACCATGTTTGGTGGACCACATCCCAAAGGTTTGGACGCGCTCACAACAAATTTAGGGTGTACTTTCGACCTCCTAAACTTGTTGTCGCTTGTCCCATCCGTCCAAGATTTCAACAGAATCTACTGTTATCTGGACGCATGAATGGGGACGAAGCAAGGATTCTCGTCGATACAGGCGCGTCGGTTTCCCTTGTTGATGAAACTTGGGTTACGACACGCAACGTCCTCGTTGTAGGACCGTCGTGTCCCATCCGCTTGGGTGACGATCGTGTCATTCCAAGTAAAGGACAGACACATATCGACAGTCGACCTCATCCTGGGCATGGATTGGTTGAGAGCCAACGAAGTTATTCTGGACTTCCAGTACAACATTGTCTCGTTCAACAAGAACGGAAAGGCAATCCAGTGGCAAGTCAATGATACTTTGCCCACTGAAACACAGACGCCTGAACGTCCCAGCGCGCTGTGTGTGTTGGCCAACCAATTCGGGCATTCTGTTAAGTCGGCTGATACACTATTCGTGGTACAGCTTGAGAATGTCGAGGCCTCGGAGCCAGCAATTGAGGATTTCCCTCCTCAAATGAAAATACTGGCAGAGGAATTCAAGGAAGTGTTTGAAACCATCCCTGATGGACTTCCGCCTGACCGCGCAGTGGGTCACACCATCCCTATTGAACCAGGAAAGGTTCCACCCTTTCGACCTCTGTATCGCCTCAGTCCAGCTGAGTACGAAGAGGCCAAACAACAGATCGAGGAATACCTCAGAAAAGGATGGATTGAACCCAGTGCATCCCCTTACGGAGCACCAATTTTGTTCGTTAACAAGAAGGGCGGAGGATTACGCATGTGCGTAGATTATCGTGCCTTGAACAAGATTACGGTGAAGAACAGATACCCTCTACCACGAATTGAGGATCTGTTCGATCGGCTCCAGGGAGCTCAGTGGTTCAGTGCGCTGGACTTAGCTCAGGGGTATCATCAGCTACGAATCACCGAAGAAGATGTTCCAAAAACGGCTTTCAGAACGCCGTTCGGGCATTTTCAGTGGCGTGTGTTAAGTTTTGGCTTGACAAATGCTCCCGCGTCATTTCAGCGAGCAATGAATGATGTGTTTCGGGAGGCAATCGGCCAATTCGTCCTGGTATACTTGGATGACATCCTCGTGTACTCGAAGACCGAAGAAGAACACACGCAACACCTGAAATGGGTGTTAGGAAAACTGCGAGAGCATAAATTCTTTGCTCGATTGTGGAAGTGTCACTTCTACAAACGCGAGTTGGAATACCTTGGTCACTTGGTAGGCAACGATGGCCTCAAAGTTGATCCAAAGAAATGACGGCAGTCCAACAGTGGCCCGTTCCACAGGACGTGGGACAGGTCAGATCATTTCTTGGACTTGCGAACTATTTTCGCCGTTTCTTGGAAAATTATTCCTCCGTAGTCGCCCCACTGACTGCCCTCACTCGTAAGGGTAATGCTTGGCAGTGGACCGATCAATGCCAGAAGGCATTTGAGGAGGTGAAAACCATGCTGACCAATGCTCCAGTGCTGGCTTTGCCAGACCCGTCCAAGCCCTACGAGGTGGTAACTGATGCCTCGACAGTAGGGATTGGAGCAGTTCTTTTGCAAGAAGGACGCTCCGTGGCATTTGAGAGTAGAAAGCTTTCACCGGCTGAGCAGCGCTATACAACTTCCGAACAAGAATTGTTGGCGGTTGTGCATGCGCTACGAACGTGGAGATGTTATCTCGAAGGTGTTGACTTTGTGGTCACGACCGACCACTGTCCGAACACCTATTTTGCCACTCAAGCCACACTCACCCGCCGTCAAGCTCGATGGGCTGAACTCCTGAGTGGGTTCACCTACGATATTCGATATCGAGCGGGCTCGACGAACATGGCTGATCCTCTGAGCAGACAGCCGATTGGGGCAGCAACGGGTGTTGATGATAAGGAACATGAAGCTGTGTTTGCTGCTTGTTTCAACATCCTCGCAGCTGCTCGAGTGAGCGAGATTGCCTTTGGTGGTTTTTTGAAACGCATCCGCGCAGGGTATGATATTGACCCTTGGTTTCAGAACCCACAGAATACAAACAATCTCTTGTGGGAGCATGAGCTCTGGTGGCACAAGAAAGAAATTGTAGTCCCACATGTGGGAAACCTGCGGAATGATATTCTCGCAGAGGTGCACGCCACTAAGTATGGAGGACACCTGGGTGTCAAGAAAACCCGGTGGGCCCTCAGTGATGTATACTGGTGGCCGGGATTGGGCATTGAGGTCCAGCAGTTTGTAACTCGCTGTGACACGTGTGCACGGAACAAGCCGAGCACACAGAAGCCTGGTGGTCTGCTTCAACCACTTGAGATTCCCGATGAACCTTGGGAGAGTGTATCGATGGATTTTATCACCGATCTCCCCAAGACGCGAGATGGTCATACAGCGATACTAGTGTTTGTGGATCGCTTGACCAAAATGGTGCACTTCGTGCCCACGACGACTGACGTGTCTGCGGAAGATACGGCAAAGTTGTTTGTGACACACGTTTTCCGCTTACACGGTTTGCCTCGTGTGATGGTGTCTGACCGAGACCCGCGCTTCACAAGCCGGTTCTGGCAAGAGGTCATTAAGACACTCGGAACGAAACTCAAGATGTCGTCTGCGTTCCGCCCGCAAACGGATGGACAGACAGAGCGGACCAACCGCACTCTTGAGCAAATGCTTCGTTCTTTCATAAGCCCAACTCAGGACGATTGGGATGAATTGTTGCCAGTCGTGGAATTCGCTGTAAACAATTCTGTGCATGAAAGCACCCATGAGAAACCCTTTGTCCTGAACTGTGGTCGGCACCCCACAACCCCCGCGACGCATGGTATTAAGAACCTCAAAATCCCTGCCGCAAAGGACTTTATTGGAAATCAGCAAGCGGCATTGAAGTCCGCTCGCCATTGGCTGCAGCTTGCCCAACAGAGGCAAAAATCCTATGCCGACATGAAACGCCGGGAAGTCGTTTTTGCAGTTGGCGACAAAGTATTACTGAGTACGAAGAACATTCGTCTCAAGATCCCGGGAGCACGAAAGCTTTTCCCTCGTTGGATTGGGCCCTTCGAGGTGATTGCGCGTGTTGGTGAGGTCGCATATAGGCTCAAATTGCCTGCGACATTGCAGATTCACAACGTCTTCCACGTGTCTCTGTTGAATAAGTACGTTGCAGAAGGCAAGTACTTACCGCCACCAACCATCGCTCTCGAGAAGGAACTCTTTTACGAAGTCGAGCGTGTGCTAACGCACCGTGATCGACAACGCGGCCGCAAAACTGTTCGTGAGTTCCTAATTCAGTGGAAAGGCTATGGGCCGGAACACAACTCTTGGGAGCCTGAGGAACACTTGACCGAAGCAGCGGTTCAAGCGTATATGGAAGACCTGGCTCTACGAGCAGGCCCACAACCAGTGGACGGGGTTGACCCTGGTCGTAATGTGGTGCGCCGTGCTCGAAGCACTCGTCCTCAGAAGCACCCTAGGGCAACGGGGACGTTGCCACCTGGGGGGGGAGGAGTGTAACGTATTACCCTAACTACCGAGCTAACAACCATCGATCTCTCTCTAAGTCAATTGTTGAGAACTTCTCTCGACAAAGGAAGAGTTGGAGAAGATGGTTGAGTTGGTTGGGATGAAACTTGGTTTGGGTTTGCCAAGCCTCAACTTTGGAGGTTTGGAACATTTCCAACTCAACCAAGAGAATGTTGAAGGTTGGAATTCCAACCAATCAGAAACTGCCAAACAAGTGTTACAATCTACTCTATCCTAAACACAACCATTGAATGGTTCTAAGTTGGGTTTTCCAACCCAACACAATTGCCACATAGGCTCCAAGCCTAGGAACCATCCCACCATGGAAACCATGGTTGGGATAGTTCCCCAAGGGGTGTATTGAGGGGGTCTGAGCTAAGCAAGCTCATTCTCAACCTCCCACTCCAACAAAACAATTGGAAATGGGATTGTTTCTCTAAGTCCTTTTGGGCTCTCTCACAAGTCTCCCTACACTACTACTCCAAGTGCTTTTCATCAAAGGCATCAAGAAGATCTTCATCTCCAAGGCTATTAAGGCTAGTTAAAGCTACTATTTTGTATTGGAATATTATAAAAGCCTTGTAACCGCCATTATAATAGCCCTGGGCATTACAAAAGTCTGCCATTGCGCCAACGCCAAGCTACACGAGCATCTCAAGGGCTGTGATCCTGACGTTTCACGAGGTAGCTCGGATTAGCACCGCAACTATGGCGTCGACGGATTGCAAAAATAGCTTAGCGACCAGTCAGAGAATCGCTTCTCCTACCACCTACCACACGTCTCTAGCCCAACGAATGGTGTCCTCGCTCCCGCCCAGCGATCCTCCCGTCTGTTGCCACACCGCGCTCCATCCCGCCGCAATCCCCTCCACCGCACTCTTCTTCGTCGAACCTCGCGCCGACGCCAGTTCTACTTCCGCCAGCATCTTTCCCCGTAGTCACTCCTGCGCTTCCGCCGACACCTCCGCCGCTGGGTTCTCCGGAGCGCATCACCGCACCACCCGCACTCCCCCGATCAACTCGTCAGCTCCGCACCCGGCGGTCGCCGCCAGCAGAGGAGAGGTGTTTTCGCAGCGCGCACGAGCCGCCCGCAGCGGGCGCGCAGCGCTGCAGATGCCGCGCGGAGCGAGCGACGGCGGGGGGGGGAGCGGCGGAAGCGGCGGCGATGGGCAATGGCTTGCGCGGCTGCGTAAATGGGAGGAGGAGACGTGCCGCGCCCAAGGGCGCCCCATGCGCAGTGCGCTCGCCGCCGGAAACCCCGCCTCTTCCGCAAGCGCGCGGAAGTTGCGGTGGCAGCGGAGCGTCAGCGAGGGTGGCGCAGGTTTCGCCGATGCCGCTGCTGCTGCTGCTGCTGCTGCCGCTGCTGCTGCTGCAGCATGGGGATGAGCATGGGGATGAGCATGGGGATGAGCATGGGGATGAGCATGGGGATGAGCATGGGGATGAGCATGGGGATGAGCATGGGATGAGCATGGGGATGAGCATGGGGATGAGCATGGGGATGAGCATGGGGATGAGCATGGGGATGAGCATGGGGATGAGCATGGGGATGAGCATGGGGATGAGCATGGGGATGAGCATGGGGATGAGCATGGGGATGAGCATGGGGATGAGCATGGGGATGAGCATGGGGATGAGCATGGGGATGAGCATGGGGATGAGCATGGGGATGAGCATGGGGATGAGCATGGGGAATGAGCATGGGGATGAGCATGGGATGAGCATGGGGATGAGCATGGGATGAGCATGGGGATGAGCATGGGATGAGCATGGGGATGAGCATGGGAATGAGCATGGGGATGAGCATGGGAATGAGCATGGGGATGAGCATGGGAAAATGGGATGAGCATGGGGATGAGCATGGGGATGAGCATGGGATGAGCATGGGGATGAGCATGGGATGAGCATGGGGATGAGCATGGATGAGCATGGGGATGAGCATGGGGATGAGCATGGGGATGAGCATGGGGATGAGCATGGGGATGAGCATGGGGATGAGCATGGGGATGAGCATGGGGATGAGCATGGGATGAGCATGGGGATGAGCATGGGGATGAGCATGGGGATGAGCATGGGGATGAGCATGGGGATGAGCATGGGGATGAGCATGGGGATGAGCATGGGGATGAGCATGGGGATGAGCATGGGGATGAGCATGGGGATGAGCATGGGGATGAGCATGGGGATGAGCATGGGATGAGCATGGGGATGAGCATGGGGATGAGCATGGGGATGAGCATGGGGATGAGCATGGGGATGAGCATGGGGATGAGCATGGGGATGAGCATGGGGATGAGCATGGGGATGAGCATGGGGATGAGCATGGGGATGAGCATGGGGATGAGCATGGGGATGAGCATGGGGAATGAGCATGGGGATGAGCATGGGGATGAGCATGGGGATGAGCATGGGGATGAGCATGGGGATGAGCATGGGGATGAGCATGGGGATGAGCATGGGGATGAGCATGGGGATGAGCATGGGATGAGCATGGGATGAGCATGGGGATGAGCATGGGGATGAGCATGGGGATGAGCATGGGGATGAGCATGGGGATGAGCATGGGGATGAGCATGGGGATGAGCATGGGGATGAGCATGGGGATGAGCATGGGGATGAGCATGGGGATGAGCATGGGGATGAGCATGGGGATGAGCATGGGGATGAGCATGGGGATGAGCATGGGGATGAGCATGGGATGAGCATGGGGATGAGCATGGGGATGAGCATGGGGATGAGCATGGGATGAGCATGGGGATGAGCATGGGGATGAGCATGGGGATGAGCATGGGGAATGAGCATGGGGATGAGCATGGGAATGAGCATGGGGATGAGCATGGATGAGCTGGGATGAGCATGGGGATGAGCATGGGGATGAGCATGGGGATGAGCATGGGATGAGCATGGGGATGAGCATGGGATGAGCATGGGATGAGCATGGGGATGAGCATGGGGATGAGCATGGGGATGAGCATGGGGATGAGCATGGGGATGAGCATGGGGATGAGCATGGGGATGAGCATGGGGATGAGCATGGGGATGAGCATGGGGATGAGCATGGGGATGAGCATGGGGATGAGCATGGGGATGAGCATGGGGATGAGCATGGGATGAGCATGGGGATGAGCATGGGGATGAGCATGGGGATGAGCATGGGGATGAGCATGGGGATGAGCATGGGGATGAGCATGGGGATGAGCATGGGGATGAGCATGGGGATGAGCATGGGGATGAGCATGGGGATGAGCATGGGGATGAGCATGGGGATGAGCATGGGGGATGAGCATGGGGATGAGCATGGGGATGAGCATGGGGATGAGCATGGGGATGAGCATGGGGATGAGCATGGGGATGAGCATGGGGATGAGCATGGGGATGAGCATGGGGATGAGCATGGGGAATGAGCATGGGGATGAGCATGGGGATGAGCATGGGGATGAGCATGGGGATGAGCATGGGGATGAGCATGGGGATGAGCATGGGGATGAGCATGGGGATGAGCATGGGGATGAGCATGGGGATGAGCATGGGGATGAGCATGGGGATGAGCATGGGGATGAGCATGGGGATGAGCATGGGGATGAGCATGGGGATGAGCATGGGGATGAGCATGGGGAATGAGCATGGGGATGAGCATGGGAATGAGCATGGGGATGAGCATGGGGATGAGCATGGGGATGAGCATGGGGATGAGCATGGGGATGAGCATGGGAATGAGCATGGGGATGAGCATGGGAATGAGCATGGGGATGAGCATGGGAATGAGCATGGGGATGAGCATGGGGATGAGCATGGGGATGAGCATGGGGATGAGCATGGGGATGAGCATGGGGATGAGCATGGGGATGAGCATGGGGATGAGCATGGGGATGAGCATGGGGATGAGCATGGGGATGAGCATGGGGATGAGCATGGGGATGAGCATGGGGATGAGCATGGGGATGAGCATGGGGATGAGCATGGGGATGAGCATGGGGATGAGCATGGGGATGAGCATGGGGATGAGCATGGGGATGAGCATGGGGATGAGCATGGGGATGAGCATGGGGATGAGCATGGGGATGAGCATGGGGATGAGCATGGGGATGAGCATGGGGATGAGCATGGGGATGAGCATGGGGATGAGCATGGGGATGAGCATGGGGATGAGCATGGGGATGAGCATGGGGATGAGCATGGGGATGAGCATGGGGATGAGCATGGGGATGAGCATGGGGATGAGCATGGGAATGAGCATGGGGATGAGCATGGGGATGAGCATGGGGGATGAGCATGGGAATGAGCATGGGGATGAGCATGGGAATGAGCATGGGGATGAGCATGGAATGAGCATGGGGATGAGCATGGGATGAGCCATGGGATGAGCATGGGAATGAGCATGGGGATGAGCATGGGAATGAGCATGGGGATGAGCATGGGAATGAGCATGGGGATGAGCATGGGGATGAGCATGGGGGATGAGCATGGGGATGAGCATGGGATGAGCATGGGGATGAGCATGGGGATGAGCATGGGGATGAGCATGGGAATGAGCATGGGGATGAGCATGGGAATGAGCATGGGGATGAGCATGGGATGAGCATGGGATGAGCATGATGATCATGGGGATGAGCATGGGGAGAGCATGGGGATGAGCATGGGAATGAGCATGGGATGAGCATGGGAATGAGCATGGGATGAGCATGGGATGAGCATGGGATGAGATGAGCATGGGGATGAGCATGGGGATGAGCATGGGAATGAGCATGGGGATGAGCATGGGAATGAGCATGGGGATGAGCATGGGAATGAGCATGGGGATGAGCATGGGGATGAGCATGGGGATGAGCATGGGGAATGAGCATGGGGATGAGCATGGGATGAGCATGGGGATGAGCATGGGGATGAGCATGGGATGAGCATGGGGATGAGCATGGGGATGAGCATGGGGAATGAGCATGGGGAATGAGCATGGGAATGAGCATGGGGATGAGCATGGGGATGAGCATGGGGATGAGCATGGGGATGAGCATGGGGATGAGCATGGGAATGAGCATGGGGATGAGCATGGGAATGAGCATGGGGATGAGCATGGGAATGAGCATGGGGATGAGCATGGGGATGAGCATGGGGATGAGCATGGGAATGAGCATGGGGATGAGCATGGGGAATGAGCATGGGATGAGCATGGGAATGAGCATGGGGATGAGCATGGGAATGAGCATGGGGATGAGCATGGGGATGAGCATGGGGATGAGCATGGGAATGAGCATGGGGATGAGCATGGGGATGAGCATGGGAATGAGCATGGGGATGAGCATGGGAATGATGCATGGGAATGAGCATGGGGATGAGCATGGGAATGAGCATGGGATGAGCATGGGATGAGCATGGGGAATGAGCATGGGGATGAGCATGGGAATGAGCATGGGGATGAGCATGGGGATGAGCATGGGAATGAGCATGGGATGAGCATGGGAATGAGCATGGGAAATGAGCATGGGATGAGCATGGGAATGAGCATGGGGATGAGCATGGGAATGAGCATGGGGATGAGCATGGGAATGAGCATGGGGAATGAGCATGGGGATGAGCATGGGGATGAGCATGGGGAATGAGCATGGGGATGAGCATGGGAATGAGCATGGGGATGAGCATGGGAATGAGCATGGGGATGAGCATGGGGAATGAGCATGGGGATGAGCATGGGGAATGAGCATGGGGAATGAGCATGGGAATGAGCATGGGATGAGCATGGGATGAGCATGGGAATGAGCATGGGAATGAGCATGGGGATGAGCATGGGAATGAGCATGGAATGAGCATGGGAATGAGCATGGGAATGAGCATGGGATGAGCATGGGAATGAGCATGGGGATGAGCATGGGGATGAGCATGGGAATGAGCATGGGAATGAGCATGGGAATGAGCATGGAATGAGCATGGATGAGCATGGGATGAGCATGGGATGAGCATGGGAATGAGCATGGGGATGAGCATGGGAATGAGCATGGGGAATGAGCATGGGAATGAGCATGGGGATGAGCATGGGGATGAGCATGGGAATGAGCATGGGGATGAGCATGGGAATGAGCATGGGGATGAGCATGGGAATGAGCATGGGGATGAGCATGGGGATGAGCATGGGGATGAGCATGGGATGAGCATGGGATGAGCATGGGATGAGCATGGGGATGAGCATGGGAATGAGCATGGGGATGAGCATGGGATGAGCATGGGAATGAGCATGGGAATGAGCATGGGGAATGAGCATGGGAATGAGCATGGGAATGAGCATGGGGAATGAGCATGGGAATGAGCATGGGAATGAGCATGGGAATGAGCATGGGGATGAGCATGGGAATGAGCATGGGAATGAGCATGGGAATGAGCATGGGAATGAGCATGGGAATGAGATGGGAATGAGCATGGGAATGAGCATGGGAATGAGCATGGAATGAGCATGGGAATGAGCATGGGGAATGAGCATGGGAATGAGCATGGGGATGAGCATGGGAATGAGCATGGGGAATGAGCATGGGAATGAGCATGGGAATGAGCATGGGAATGAGCATGGGAATGAGCATGGGAATGAGCATGGGAATGAGCATGGGAATGAGCATGGGAATGAGCATGGGAATGAGCATGGGAATGAGCATGGGAATGAGCATGGGATAGATGATGAGCATGGGAATGAGCATGGGATGAGCATGGGGATGAGCATGGGGATGAGCATGGGAATGAGCATGGGGATGAGCATGGGAATGAGCATGGGGATGAGCATGGGAATGAGCATGGGGATGAGCATGGGGATGAGCATGGGAATGAGCATGGGGATGAGCATGGGGATGAGCATGGGAATGAGCATGGGATGAGCATGGGAATGAGCATGGGATGAGCATGGGAATGAGCATGGGGATGAGCATGGGGATGAGCATGGGGATGAGCATGGGGATGAGCATGGGGATGAGCATGGGAATGAGCATGGGGATGAGCATGGGAATGAGCATGGGGATGAGCATGGGGATGAGCATGGGGATGAGCATGGGGATGAGCATGGGGATGAGCATGGGAATGAGCATGGGGATGAGCATGGGAATGAGCATGGGGATGAGCATGGGAATGAGCATGGGAATGAGCATGGGGATGAGCATGGGAATGAGCATGGGGATGAGCATGGGAATGAGCATGGGGATGAGCATGGGAATGAGCATGGGAATGAGCATGGGGATGAGCATGGGGATGAGCATGGGAATGAGCATGGGGATGAGCATGGGAATGAGCATGGGAATGAGCATGGGGATGAGCATGGGAATGAGCATGGGGATGAGCATGGGAATGAGCATGGGGATGAGCATGGGAATGAGCATGGGATGAGCATGGGGATGAGCATGGGATGAGCATGGAATGAGCATGGGGATGAGCATGGGAATGAGCATGGGGATGAGCATGGGAATGAGCATGGGGATGAGCATGGGAATGAGCATGGGGATGAGCATGGGAATGAGCATGGGATGAGCATGGGAATGAGCATGGGAATGAGCATGGGAATGAGCATGGGGATGAGCATGGGAATGAGCATGGGGATGAGCATGGGGATGAGCATGGGAATGAGCATGGGAATGAGCATGGGAATGAGCATGGGAATGAGCATGGGGATGAGCATGGGAATGAGCATGGGGATGAGCATGGGAATGAGCATGGGGATGAGCATGGGAATGAGCATGGGGATGAGCATGGGAATGAGCATGGGGATGAGCATGGGGATGAGCATGGGGATGAGCATGGGAATGAGCATGGGGATGAGCATGGGAATGAGCATGGGGATGAGCATGGGAATGAGCATGGGGATGAGCATGGGGATGAGCATGGGAATGAGCATGGGAATGAGCATGGGAATGAGCATGGGGATGAGCATGGGAATGAGCATGGGATGAGCATGGGAATGAGCATGGGAATGAGCATGGGAATGAGCATGGGAATGAGCATGGGAATGAGCATGGGAATGAGCATGGGAATGAGCATGGGAATGAGCATGGGAATGAGCATGGGAATGAGCATGGGAATGAGCATGGGAATGAGCATGGGAATGAGCATGGGAATGAGCATGGGAATGAGCATGGGGATGAGCATGGGGATGAGCATGGGGATGAGCATGGGAATGAGCATGGGAATGAGCATGGGAATGAGCATGGGAATGAGCATGGGAATGAGCATGGGAATGAGCATGGGAATGAGCATGGGAATGAGCATGGGAATGAGCATGGGAATGAGCATGGGGATGAGCATGGGAATGAGCATGGGAATGAGCATGGGAATGAGCATGGGAATGAGCATGGGATGAGCATGGGATGAGCATGGGAATGAGCATGGGGATGAGCATGGGAATGAGCATGGGAATGAGCATGGGAATGAGCATGGGAATGAGCATGGGAATGAGCATGGGAATGAGCATGGGAATGAGCATGGGAATGAGCATGGGAATGAGCATGGGAATGAGCATGGGAATGGAGCATGGGAATGAGCATGGGGATGAGCATGGGAATGAGCATGGGAATGAGCATGGGAATGAGCATGGGAATGAGCATGGGGATGAGCATGGGAATGAGCATGGGGATGAGCATGGGAATGAGCATGGGGATGAGCATGGGGATGAGCATGGGGATGAGCATGGGGATGAGCATGGGGATGAGCATGGGAATGAGCATGGGGATGAGCATGGGAATGAGCATGGGGATGAGCATGGGAATGAGCATGGGAATGAGCATGGGGAATGAGCATGGGAATGAGCATGGGGATGAGCATGGGAATGAGCATGGGGATGAGCATGGGAATGAGCATGGGATGAGCATGGGAATGAGCATGGGAATGAGCATGGGAATGAGCATGGGAATGAGCATGGGAATGAGCATGGGGATGAGCATGGGAATGAGCATGGGGATGAGCATGGGAATGAGCATGGGGATGAGCATGGGAATGAGCATGGGGATGAGCATGGGGAATGAGCATGGGGATGAGCATGGGAATGAGCATGGGGATGAGCATGGGAATGAGCATGGGGATGAGCATGGGAATGAGCATGGGGATGAGCATGGGGAATGAGCATGGGAATGAGCATGGGAATGAGCATGGGGAATGAGCATGGGGATGAGCATGGGAATGAGCATGGGAATGAGCATGGGATGAGCATGGGATGAGCATGGGAATGAGCATGGGAATGAGCATGGGAATGAGCATGGGAATGAGCATGGGAATGAGCATGGGAATGAGCATGGGAATGAGCATGGGAATGAGCATGGGAATGAGCATGGGAATGAGCATGGGAATGAGCATGGGAATGAGCATGGGAATGAGCATGGGAATGAGCATGGGGATGAGCATGGGGAATGAGCATGGGGAATGAGCATGGGATGAGCATGGGGATGAGCATGGGAATGAGCATGGGAATGAGCATGGGAATGAGCATGGGAATGAGCATGGGAATGAGCATGGGAATGAGCATGGGAATGAGCATGGGGATGAGCATGGGGATGAGCATGGGAATGAGCATGGGGATGAGCATGGGAATGAGCATGGGAATGAGCATGGGAATGAGCATGGGAATGAGCATGGGGATGAGCATGGGGATGAGCATGGGAATGAGCATGGGGATGAGCATGGGAATGAGCATGGGAATGAGCATGGGAATGAGCATGGGAATGAGCATGGGAATGAGCATGGGAATGAGCATGGGAATGAGCATGGGAATGAGCATGGGAATGAGCATGGGGATGAGCATGGGGATGAGCATGGGAATGAGCATGGGGATGAGCATGGGAATGAGCATGGGAATGAGCATGGGAATGAGCATGGAATGAGCATGGGAATGAGCATGGGAATGAGCATGGGAATGAGCATGGGAATGAGCATGGGGATGAGCATGGGGATGAGCATGGGAATGAGCATGGGGGATGAGCATGGGAATGAGCATGGGAATGAGCATGGGAATGAGCATGGGAATGAGCATGGGGATGAGCATGGGGATGAGCATGGGAATGAGCATGGGGATGAGCATGGGAATGAGCATGGGAATGAGCATGGGAATGAGCATGGGAATGAGCATGGGAATGAGCATGGGAATGAGCATGGGAATGAGCATGGGAATGAGCAGGGGAATGAGCATGGGAATGAGCATGGGAATGAGCATGGGGAATGAGCATGGGAATGAGCATGGGAATGAGCATGGGAATGAGCATGGGAATGAGCATGGGGATGAGCATGGGAATGAGCATGGGGATGAGCATGGGGATGAGCATGGGAATGAGCATGGGAATGAGCATGGGAATGAGCATGGGAATGAGCATGGGAATGAGCATGGGAATGAGCATGGGAATGAGCATGGGAATGAGCATGGGAATGAGCATGGGAATGAGCATGGGAATGAGCATGGGAATGAGCATGGGAATGAGCATGGGAATGAGCATGGAATGAGCATGGGATGAGCATGGGGATGAGCATGGGAATGAGCATGGGGATGAGCATGGATATGAGCATGGGAATGAGCATGGGAATGAGCATGGGAATGAGCATGGGAATGAGCATGGGAATGAGCATGGGAATGAGCATGGGAATGAGCATGGGGATGAGCATGGGGATGAGCATGGGAATGAGCATGGGGATGAGCATGGGAATGAGCATGGGAATGAGCATGGGAATGAGCATGGGAATGAGCATGGGGATGAGCATGGGGATGAGCATGGGAATGAGCATGGGGATGAGCATGGGGATGAGCATGGGGATGAGCATGGGAATGAGCATGGGAATGAGCATGGGAATGAGCATGGGAATGAGCATGGGATGAGCATGGGGATGAGCATGGGAATGAGCATGGGGATGAGCATGGGAATGAGCATGGGGATGAGCATGGGAATGAGCATGGGGATGAGCATGGGAATGAGCATGGGGATGAGCATGGGGATGAGCATGGGGAATGAGCATGGGGATGAGCATGGGAATGAGCATGGGGATGAGCATGGGAATGAGCATGGGAATGAGCATGGGAATGAGCATGGGAATGAGCATGGGAATGAGCATGGGGATGAGCATGGGAATGAGCATGGGAATGAGCATGGGAATGAGCATGGGAATGAGCATGGGGATGAGCATGGGAATGAGCATGGGAATGAGCATGGGGATGAGCATGGGGATGAGCATGGGGATGAGCATGGGAATGAGCATGGGAATGAGCATGGGAATGAGCATGGGAATGAGCATGGGGATGAGCATGGGGATGAGCATGGGAATGAGCATGGGGATGAGCATGGGAATGAGCATGGGGATGAGCATGGGAATGAGCATGGGGATGAGCATGGGAATGAGCATGGGGATGAGCATGGGGATGAGCATGGGAATGAGCATGGGGATGAGCATGGGAATGAGCATGGGGATGAGCATGGGGATGAGCATGGAGCATGGGAATGAGCATGGGAATGAGCATGGGAATGAGCATGGGGATGAGCATGGGGATGAGCATGGGAATGAGCATGGGGATGAGCATGGGAATGAGCATGGGGATGAGCATGGGAATGAGCATGGGGATGAGCATGGGAATGAGCATGGGGATGAGCATGGGGATGAGCATGGGAATGAGCATGGGGATGAGCATGGGAATGAGCATGGGGATGAGCATGGGAATGAGCATGGGGATGAGCATGGGGATGAGCATGGAATGAGCATGGGAATGAGCATGGGAATGAGCATGGGAATGAGCATGGGGATGAGCATGGGGATGAGCATGGGAATGAGCATGGGGATGAGCATGGGAATGAGCATGGGGATGAGCATGGGAATGAGCATGGGGATGAGCATGGGAATGAGCATGGGATGAGCATGGAATGAGCATGGGAATGAGCATGGGGATGAGCATGGGAATGAGCATGGGGATGAGCATGGGAATGAGCATGGGATGAGCATGGGATGAGCATGGGGATGAGGCATGGGGATGAGCATGGGGATGAGCATGGGGATGAGCATGGGGATGAGCATGGGGATGAGCATGGGATGAGCATGGGAATGAGCATGGGAATGAGCATGGGAATGAGCATGGGAATGAGCATGGGGATGAGCATGGGAATGAGCATGGGGATGAGCATGGGGATGAGCATGGGGATGAGCATGGGGATGAGCATGGGAATGAGCATGGGAATGAGCATGGGAATGAGCATGGGAATGAGCATGGGGATGAGCATGGGGATGAGCATGGGAATGAGCATGGGGATGAGCATGGGAATGAGCATGGGGATGAGCATGGGAATGAGCATGGGGATGAGCATGGGAATGAGCATGGGGATGAGCATGGGGATGAGCATGGGAATGAGCATGGGGATGAGCATGGGAATGAGCATGGGGATGAGCATGGGAATGAGCATGGGATGAGCATGGGGATGAGCATGGGGATGAGCATGGGAATGAGCATGGGGATGAGCATGGGGATGAGCATGGGGATGAGCATGGGAATGAGCATGGGAATGAGCATGGGAATGAGCATGGGAATGAGCATGGGGATGAGCATGGGGATGAGCATGGGAATGAGCATGGGGATGAGCATGGGAATGAGCATGGGGATGAGCATGGGAGTGAGCATGGGGATGAGCATGGGAATGAGCATGGGGATGAGCATGGGGATGAGCATGGGGATGAGCATGGGGATGAGCATGGGAATGAGCATGGGGATGAGCATGGGAATGAGCATGGGAATGAGCATGGGAATGAGCATGGGAATGAGCATGGGAATGAGCATGGGGATGAGCATGGGAATGAGCATGGGAATGAGCATGGGAATGAGCATGGGAATGAGCATGGGATGAGCATGGGAATGAGCATGGGGATGAGCATGGGGATGAGCATGGGGATGAGCATGGGAATGAGCATGGGAATGAGCATGGGAATGAGCATGGGAGCATGGGGATGAGCATGGGGATGAGCATGGGAATGAGCATGGGGATGAGCATGGGAATGAGCATGGGGATGAGCATGGGAATGAGCATGGGGATGAGCATGGGAATGAGCATGGGGATGAGCATGGGGATGAGCATGGGAATGAGCATGGGGATGAGCATGGGAATGAGCATGGGGATGAGCATGGGGATGAGCATGGGAATGAGCATGGGAATGAGCATGGGAATGAGCATGGGAATGAGCATGGGGATGAGCATGGGGATGAGCATGGGAATGAGCATGGGGATGAGCATGGGAATGAGCATGAGCATGGGAATGAGCATGGGGATGAGCATGGGAATGAGCATGGGATGAGCATGGGGATGAGCATGGGAATGAGCATGGGGATGAGCATGGGAATGAGCATGGGGATGAGCATGGGAATGAGCATGGGGATGAGCATGGGATGAGCATGGGAATGAGCATGGGAATGAGCATGGGAATGAGCATGGGCATGGGATGAGCATGGGGATGAGCATGGGGATGAGCATGGGAATGAGCATGGGGATGAGCATGGGAATGAGCATGAGCATGGGAATGAGCATGGGGATGAGCATGGGAATGAGCATGGGGATGAGCATGGGGATGAGCATGGGAATGAGCATGGGGATGAGCATGGGAATGAGCATGGGGATGAGCATGGGAATGAGCATGGGGATGAGCATGGGGATGAGCATGGGGATGAGCATGGGGATGAGCATGGGGATGAGCATGGGGATGAGCATGGGGATGAGCATGGGGATGAGCATGGGAATGAGCATGGGAATGAGCATGGGAATGAGCATGGGAATGAGCATGGGGATGAGCATGGGAATGAGCATGGGAATGAGCATGGGGATGAGCATGGGGATGAGCATGGGGATGAGCATGGGAATGAGCATGGGAATGAGCATGGGAATGAGCATGGGGATGAGCATGGGGATGAGCATGGGGATGAGCATGGGAATGAGCATGGGGATGAGCATGGGAATGAGCATGGGGATGAGCATGGGAGAGCATGGGAATGAGCATGGGGATGAGCATGGGAATGAGCATGGGGATGAGCATGGGTATGAGCATGGGAATGAGCATGGGGATGAGCATGGGAATGAGCATGGGGATGAGCATGGGGATGAGCATGGGAATGAGCATGGGAATGAGCATGGGAATGAGCATGGGAATGAGCATGGGGATGAGCATGGGGATGAGCATGGGAATGAGCATGGGGATGAGCATGGGAATGAGCATGGGGATGAGCATGGGAATGAGCATGGGGATGAGCATGGGAATGAGCATGGGGATGAGCATGGGGATGAGCATGGGAATGAGCATGGGGATGAGCATGGGAATGAGCATGGGGATGAGCATGGGAATGAGCATGGGGATGAGCATGGGATGAGCATGGGAATGAGCATGGGAATGAGCATGGGAATGAGCATGGGAATGAGCATGGGGAATGAGCATGGGGATGAGCATGGGAATGAGCATGGGATGAGCATGGGAATGAGCATGGGGATGAGCATGGGAATGAGCATGGGGATGAGCATGGGGAATGAGCATGGGAATGAGCATGGGGATGAGCATGGGAATGAGCATGGGGATGAGCATGGGGAATGAGCATGGGGAATGAGCATGGGATGAGCATGGGAATGAGCATGGGGATGAGCATGGGATGAGCATGGGAATGAGCATGGGAATGAGCATGGGAATGAGCATGGGAATGAGCATGGGATGAGCATGGGGATGAGCATGGGAATGAGCATGGGGATGAGCATGGGAATGAGCATGGGGATGAGCATGGGAATGAGCATGGGGATGAGCATGGGAATGAGCATGGGATGAGCATGGGGATGAGCATGGGAATGAGCATGGGGATGAGCATGGGAATGAGCATGGGGATGAGCATGGGAATGAGCATGGGAATGAGCATGGGAATGAGCATGGGAATGAGCATGGGGATGAGCATGGGAATGAGCATGGGGATGAGCATGGGGATGAGCATGGGAATGAGCATGGGGATGAGCATGGGGAATGAGCATGGGAATGAGCATGGGAATGAGCATGGGAATGAGCATGGGAATGAGCATGGGAATGAGCATGGGGATGAGCATGGGGATGAGCATGGGAATGAGCATGGGGATGAGCATGGGAATGAGCATGGGGATGAGCATGGGAATGAGCATGGGGATGAGCATGGGAATGAGCATGGGGATGAGCATGGGGATGAGCATGGGAATGAGCATGGGATGAGCATGGGAATGAGCATGGGGATGAGCATGGGGATGAGCATGGGAATGAGCATGGGATGAGCATGGGAAATGAGCATGGGGAATGAGCATGGGATGAGCATGGGGATGAGCATGGGGAATGAGCATGGGGATGAGCATGGGAATGAGCATGGGGATGAGCATGGGAATGAGCATGGGGATGAGCATGGGAATGAGCATGGGGATGAGCATGGGGATGAGCATGGGAATGAGCATGGGGATGAGCATGGGAATGAGCATGGGGATGAGCATGGGAATGAGCATGGGAATGAGCATGGGGATGAGCATGGGAATGAGCATGGGGAATGAGCATGGGAATGAGCATGGGAATGAGCATGGGATGAGCATGGGAATGAGCATGGGAATGAGCATGGGGATGAGCATGGGAATGAGCATGGGGATGAGCATGGGGATGAGCATGGGAGATGAGGACATGAGCATGGGGATGAGCATGGGGATGAGCATGGGAATGAGCATGGGAATGAGCATGGGAATGAGCATGGGAATGAGCATGGGGATGAGCATGGGAATGAGCATGGGGATGAGCATGGGAATGAGCATGGGGATGAGCATGGGGATGAGCATGGGGATGAGCATGGGGATGAGCATGGGGAATGAGCATGGGAATGAGCATGGGAATGAGCATGGGAATGAGCATGGGGATGAGCATGGGATGAGCATGGGAATGAGCATGGGGATGAGCATGGGAATGAGCATGGGGATGAGCATGGGAATGAGCATGGGGATGAGCATGGGAATGAGCATGGGGATGAGCATGGGGATGAGCATGGGAATGAGCATGGGGATGAGCATGGGAATGAGCATGGGGATGAGCATGGGGATGAGCATGGGAATGAGCATGGGAATGAGCATGGGAATGAGCATGGGAATGAGCATGGGATGAGCATGGGGATGAGCATGGGAATGAGCATGGGGATGAGCATGGGAGATGAGCATGGGGATAGAGCATGGGAATGAGCATGGGGATGAGCATGGGAATGAGCATGGGGATGAGCATGGGGATGAGCATGGGAATGAGCATGGGGATGAGCATGGGAATGAGCATGGGGATGAGCATGGGAATGAGCATGGGGATGAGCATGGGGATGAGCATGGGAATGAGCATGGGAATGAGCATGGGAATGAGCATGGGGATGAGCATGGGAATGAGCATGGGAATGAGCATGGGGATGAGCATGGGAATGAGCATGGGGATGAGCATGGGAATGAGCATGGGGATGAGCATGGGGATGAGCATGGGAATGAGCATGGGAATGAGCATGGGAATGAGCATGGGAATGAGCATGGGGAATGAGCATGGGAATGAGCATGGGAATGAGCATGGGGATGAGCATGGGATGAGCATGGGGAATGAGCATGGGGATGAGCATGGGGAATGAGCATGGGGATGAGCATGGGGAATGAGCATGGGATGAGCATGGGATGAGCATGGGAATGAGCATGGGAATGAGCATGGGATGAGCATGGGAATGAGCATGGGGATGAGCATGGGAATGAGCATGGGGATGAGCATGGGAATGAGCATGGGGATGAGCATGGGGATGAGCATGGGAATGAGCATGGGAATGAGCATGGGAATGAGCATGGGAATGAGCATGGGAATGAGCATGGGGATGAGCATGGGAATGAGCATGGGGATGAGCATGGGAATGAGCATGGGGATGAGCATGGGAATGAGCATGGGGATGAGCATGGGAATGAGCATGGGGATGAGCATGGGGAATGAGCATGGGGAATGAGCATGGGATGAGCATGGGAATGAGCATGGGGATGAGCATGGGAATGAGCATGGGGATGAGCATGGGAATGAGCATGGGAATGAGCATGGGGAATGAGCATGGGAATGAGCATGGGGATGAGCATGGGGATGAGCATGGGAATGAGCATGGGGATGAGCATGGAATGAGCATGGGGATGAGCATGGGAATGAGCATGGGGATGAGCATGGGAATGAGCATGGGATGAGCATGGGGATGAGCATGGGAATGAGCATGGGGATGAGCATGGGAATGAGCATGGGGATGAGCATGGGAATGAGCATGGGGATGAGCATGGGGATGAGCATGGGAATGAGCATGGGAATGAGCATGGGAATGAGCATGGGATGAGCATGGGAATGAGCATGGGAATGAGCATGGGGATGAGCATGGGAATGAGCATGGGGATGAGCATGGGAATGAGCATGGGGATGAGCATGGGGATGAGCATGGGAATGAGCATGGAATGAGCATGGGAATGAGCATGGGAATGAGCATGGGGATGAGCATGGGGATGAGCATGGGAATGAGCATGGGGATGAGCATGGGAATGAGCATGGGGATGAGCATTGGGAATGAGCATGGGGATGAGCATGGGAATGAGCATGGGAATGAGCATGGGGAATGAGCATGGGAATGAGCATGGGAATGAGCATGGGGATGAGCATGGGGATGAGCATGGGGATGAGCATGGGAATGAGCATGGGATGAGCATGGGAATGAGCATGGGGATGAGCATGGGGAATGAGCATGGGATGAGCATGGGGATGAGCATGGGAATGAGCATGGGAATGAGCATGGGAATGAGCATGGGGATGAGCATGGGGATGAGCATGGGGATGAGCATGGGGATGAGCATGGGAATGAGCATGGGGAATGAGCATGGGAATGAGCATGGGAATGAGCATGGGGATGAGCATGGGATGAGCATGGGAATGAATGAGCATGGGGAATGAGCATGGGAATGAGCATGGAATGAGCATGGGAATGAGCATGGAATGCATGGGAATGAGCATGGGAATGAGCATGGGAATGAGCATGGGAATGAGCATGGGAATGAGCATGGAATGAGCATGGGAATGAGCATGGGAATGAGCATGGGAATGAGCATGGGAATGAGCATGGGAATGAGCATGGGAATGAGCATGGGAATGAGCATGGAATGAGCATGGGAATGAGCATGGGAATGAGCATGGGGAATGAGCATGGGAATGAGCATGGGAATGAGCATGGGAATGAGCATGGGAATGAGCATGGAATGAGCATGGGAATGAGCATGGGAATGAGCATGGGAATGAGCATGGGAATGAGCATGGGATAGAGCATGGGAATGAGCATGGGAATGAGCATGGGAATGAGCATGGGAATGAGCATGGGGATGAGCATGGGAATGAGCATGGGAATGAGCATGGGAATGAGCATGGGAATGAGCATGGGGATGAGCATGGGGATGAGCATGGGATGAGCATGGGGATGAGCATGGGGAATGAGCATGGGGATGAGCATGGGGATGAGCATGGGGATGAGCATGGGAATGAGCATGGGGATGAGCATGGGGATGAGCATGGGGATGAGCATGGGAATGAGCATGGGAATGAGCATGGGGATGAGCATGGGGATGAGCATGGGGATGAGCATGGGAATGAGCATGGGAATGAGCATGGGGATGAGCATGGGCTGAGCATGGGATGAGCATGGGAATGAGCATGGGGATGAGCATGGGATGAGCATGGGAATGAGCATGGGGATGAGCATGGGATGAGCATGGGATGAGCATGCGGGATGAGCATGGGAATGAGCATGGGATGAGCATGGGGATGAGCATGGGGATGAGCATGGGGATGAGCATGGGGATGAGCATGGGAATGAGCATGGGAATGAGCATGGGAATGAGCATGGGAATGAGCATGGGAATGAGCATGGGAATGAGCATGGGAATGAGCATGGAATGAGCATGGGAATGAGCATGGGAATGAGCATGGGAATGAGCATGGGAATGAGCATGGGAATGAGCATGGGAATGAGCATGGGAATGAGCATGGGAATGAGCATGGGAATGAGCATGGAATGAGCATGGGATATGAGCATGGGAATGAGCATGGGAATGAGCATGGGAGAGCATGGGATGAGCATGGGAATGAGCATGGGAATGAGCATGGGAACTGAGCATGGGGATGAGCATGGGATGAGCATGGGAATGAGCATGGGAATGAGCATGGGAATGAGCATGGGAATGAGCATGGAATGAGCATGGGAATGAGCATGGGAATGAGCATTGGGAATGAGCATGGGAATGAGCATGGGAATGAGCATGGGAATGAGCATGGGAATGAGCATGGGAATGAGCATGGAATGAGCCATGGAAGAGCATGGGAATGAGCATGGGAATGAGCATGGAATGAGCATGGGAATGAGCATGGGAATGAGCATGGGAATGAGCATGGGAATGAGCATGGGAATGAGCATGGGAATGAGCATGGGAATGAGCATGGGAATGAGCATGGGAATGAGCATGGGAATGAGCATGGGAATGAGCATGGATATGAGCATGGGAATGAGCATGGGAATGAGCATGGGAATGAGCATGGGAATGAGCATGGGAATGAGCATGGGAATGAGCATGGGAATGAGCATGGAATGAGCATGGGAATGAGCATGGGAATGAGCATGGGAATGAGCATGGGACTGAGCATGGGAATGAGCATGGGAATGAGCATGGGAATGAGCATGGGAATGAGCATGGAATGAGCATGGGAATGAGCATGGGAATGAGCCTGGGAATGAGCATGGGAATGAGCATGGGAATGAGCATGGGAATGAGCATGGAATGAGCATGGGAATGAGCATGGGAATGAGCATGGGAATGAGCATGGGAATGAGCATGGGAATGAGCATGGGAATGAGCATGGAATGAGCATGGGAATGAGCATGGGAATGAGCATGGGAATGAGCATGGGAATGAGCATGGGAATGAGCATGGGAATGAGCATGGGAATGAGCATGGGAATGAGCATGGGAATGAGCATGGGAATGAGCATGGGGGGATGAGCATGGGATGAGCATGGGGATGAGCATGGGGATGAGCATGGGAATGAGCATGGGAATGAGCATGGGAAATGAGCATGGGAATGAGCATGGGAATGAGCATGGGATGAGCATGGGAATGAGCATGGGAATGAGCATGGGAATGAGCATGGGAATGAGCATGGGGATGAGCATGGGAATGAGCATGGGGGATGAGCATGGGAATGAGCATGGGGATGAGCATGGGAATGAGCATGGGGATGAGCATGGGGATGAGCATGGGAATGAGCATGGGGATGAGCATGGGAATGAGCATGGGGATGAGCATGGGAATGAGCATGGGAATGAGCATGGGGATGAGCATGGGAATGAGCATGGGGATGAGCATGGGATGAGCATGGGAGAGCATGGGGATGAGCATGGGGATGAGCATGGTGATGAGCATGGGGATGAGCATGGGGGATGAGCATGGGGATGAGCATGGGATGAGCATGGGGATGAGCATGGGAATGAGCATGGGATGAGCATGGGATGAGCATGGGATGAGCATGGGATGAGCATGGGGATGAGCATGGGAATGAGCATGGGAATGAGCATGGGGATGAGCATGGGGATGAGCATGGGGAATGAGCATGGGGAATGAGCATGGGAATGAGCATGGGAATGAGCATGGGGATGAGCATGGGGATGAGCATGGGGATGAGCATGGGGATGAGCATGGGGATGAGCATGGGGATTGAGCATGGGGATGAGCATGGGGATGAGCATGGGGATGAGCATGGGGATGAGCATGGATGAGCATGGGGATGAGCATGGGGATGAGCATGGGGATGAGCATGGGGATGAGCATGGGGATGAGCATGGGGATGAGCATGGGGATGAGCATGGGGATGAGCATGGGGATGAGCATGGGGATGAGCATGGGGATGAGCATGGGGATGAGCATGGGGATGAGCATGGGATGAGCATGGGAATGAGCATGGGGATGAGCATGGGAATGAGCATGGGAATGAGCATGGGGATGAGCATGGGAATGAGCATGGGGATGAGCATGGGGATGAGCATGGGAATGAGCATGGGAATGAGCATGGGGATGAGCATGGGGATGAGCATGGGGATGAGCATGGGATGAGCATGGGGATGAGCATGGGAATGAGCATGGGAATGAGCATGGGGATGAGCATGGGAATGAGCATGGGGATGAGCATGGGAATGAGCATGGGGATGAGCATGGGGATGAGCATGGGGATGAGCATGGGGATGAGCATGGGGATGAGCATGGGGATGAGCATGGGGATGAGCATGGGGATGAGCATGGGGATGAGCATGGGAATGAGCATGGGAATGAGCATGGGGATGAGCATGGGGATGAGCATGGGAATGAACATGGGGATGAGCATGGGGATGAGCATGGGGATGAGCATGGGGATGAGCATGGGGATGAGCATGGGAATGAGCATGGGGATGAGCATGGGGATGAGCATGGGGATGAGCATGGGGATGAGCATGGGGATGAGCATGGGGATGAGCATGGGGATGAGCATGGGAATGAGCATGGGGATGAGCATGGGAATGAGCATGGGAATGAGCATGGGGATGAGCATGGAATGAGCATGGGGATGAGCATGGGGATGAGCATGGGAATGAGCATGGGAATGAGCATGGGGATGAGCATGGGGATGAGCATGGGGATGAGCATGGGGATGAGCATGGGGATGAGCATGGGAATGAGCATGGGAATGAGCATGGGAATGAGCATGGGGATGAGCATGGGAATGAGCATGGGGATGAGCATGGGGATGAGCATGGGGATGAGCATGGGGATGAGCATGGGGATGAGCATGGGGATGAGCATGGGGATGAGCATGGGGATGAGCATGGGGATGAGCATGGGAATGAGCATGGGAATGAGCATGGGGATGAGCATGGGAATGAGCATGGGGATGAGCATGGGAATGAGCATGGGGATGAGCATGGGGATGAGCATGGGGATGAGCATGGGGATGAGCATGGGGATGAGCATGGGGATGAGCATGGGGATGAGCATGGGGATGAGCATGGGAATGAGCATGGGGATGAGCATGGGAATGAGCATGGGGATGAGCATGGGAATGAGCATGGGGATGAGCATGGGAATGAGCATGGGGATGAGCATGGGGATGAGCATGGGAATGAGCATGGGAATGAGCATGGGAATGAGCATGGGGATGAGCATGGGAATGAGCATGGGAATGAGCATGGGGATGAGCATGGGAATGAGCATGGGGATGAGCATGGGAATGAGCATGGGGATGAGCATGGGAATGAGCATGGGGATGAGCATGGGGATGAGCATGGGAATGAGCATGGGGATGAGCATGGGAATGAGCATGGGGATGAGCATGGGAATGAGCATGGGAATGAGCATGGGGATGAGCATGGGAATGAGCATGGGGATGAGCATGGGGATGAGCATGGGAATGAGCATGGGAATGAGCATGGGGATGAGCATGGGGATGAGCATGGGGATGAGCATGGGGATGAGCATGGGGATGAGCATGGAATGAGCATGGGAATGAGCATGGGGATGAGCATGGGAATGAGCATGGGGATGAGCATGGGAATGAGCATGGGGATGAGCATGGGGATGAGCATGGGGATGAGCATGGGGATGAGCATGGGGATGAGCATGGGGATGAGCATGGGATGAGCATGGGGATGAGCATGGGGATGAGCATGGGGATGAGCATGGGAATGAGCATGGGAATGAGCATGGGAATGAGCATGGGGAATGAGCATGGGGATGAGCATGGGGATGAGCATGGGATGAGCATGGGAATGAGCATGGGAATGAGCATGGGAATGAGCATGGGGATGAGCATGGGGATGAGCATGGGGATGAGCATGGGGATGAGCATGGGGATGAGCATGGGGATGAGCATGGGGATGAGCATGGGATGAGCATGGGAATGAGCATGGGGATGAGCATGGGAATGAGCATGGGATGAGCATGGATGAGCATGGGGGAATGGGAAAGCATGGGAATGAGCATGGGGATGAGCATGGGAATGAGCATGGGGATGAGCATGGGAATGAGGCATGGGATGAGCATGGGGATGAGCATGGGGATGAGCATGGGGATGAGCATGGGGATGAGCATGGGGATGAGCATGGGGATGAGCATGGGGATGAGCATGGGGATGAGCATGGGGATGAGCATGGGAATGAGCATGGGGATGAGCATGGGAATGAGCATGGGGATGAGCATGGGGATGAGCATGGGAATGAGCATGGGGATGAGCATGGGGATGAGCATGGGGATGAGCATGGGATGAGCATGGGAATGAGCATGGGAATGAGCATGGGGATGAGCATGGGGATGAGCATGGGGATGAGCATGGGGATGAGCATGGGGATGAGCATGGGGATGAGCATGGGGAATGGAGCATGGGAATGAGCATGGGGATGAGCATGGGGATGAGCATGGGGATGAGCATGGGGATGAGCATGGGGATGAGCATGGGGATGAGCATGGGATGAGCATGGGGATGAGCATGGGGATGAGCATGGGGATGAGCATGGGGATGAGCATGGGAATGAGCATGGGGATGAGCATGGGGATGAGCATGGGGATGAGCATGGGGATGAGCATGGGGATGAGCATGGGGATGAGCATGGGGATGAGCATGGGGATGAGCATGGGGATGAGCATGGGATGAGCATGGGGATGAGCATGGGGATGAGCATGGGGATGAGCATGGGATGAGCCATGGGGATGAGCATGGGGATGAGCATGGGGATGAGCATGGGGATGAGCATGGGGATGAGCATGGGGATGAGCATGGGGATGAGCATGGGGATGAGCATGGGGATGAGCATGGGGATGAGCATGGGGATGAGCATGGGGATGAGCATGGGGATGAGCATGGGAATGAGCATGGGAATGAGCATGGGAATGAGCATGGGAATGAGCATGGGAATGAGCATGGGAATGAGCATGGGAATGAGCATGGGAATGAGCATGGGAATGAGCATGGGAATGAGCATGGGGATGAGCATGGGGATGAGCATGGGAATGAGCATGGGAATGAGCATGGGAATGAGCATGGGAATGAGCATGGGAATGAGCATGGGAATGAGCATGGGAATGAGCATGGGAATGAGCATGGGAATGAGCATGGGAATGAGCATGGGAATGAGCATGGGAATGAGCATGGGAATGAGCATGGGAATGAGCATGGGAATGAGCATGGGAATGAGCATGGGAATGAGCATGGGAATGAGCATGGGAATGAGCATGGGAATGAGCATGGGAATGAGCATGGGAATGAGCATGGGAATGAGCATGGGAATGAGCATGGGAATGAGCATGGGAATGAGCATGGGAATGAGCATGGGAATGAGCATGGGAATGAGCATGGGAATGAGCATGGGGATGAGCATGGGAATGAGCATGGGAATGAGCATGGGGATGAGCATGGGAATGAGCATGGGGGGATGAGCATGGGATGAGCATGGGATGAGCATGGGGTATGAGCATGGGAATGAGCATGGGAATGAGCATGGGAATGAGCATGGGAATGAGCATGGGAATGAGCATGGGAATGAGCATGGGAATGAGCATGGGAATGAGCATGGGAATGAGCATGGGAATGAGCATGGGAATGAGCATGGGAATGAGCATGGGAATGAGCATGGGAATGAGGCATGGGAATGAGCATGGGAATGAGCATGGAATGAGCATGGGAATGAGCATGGGAAGAGCATGAAGAGCATGGGAATGAGCATGGGAATGAGCATGGGAATGAGCATGGGAATGAGCATGGGAATGAGCATGGGAATGAGCATGGGAATGAGCATGGGAATGAGCATGGGAATGAGCATGGGGAATGAGCATGGAATGAGCATGGGAATGAGCATGGGAATGAGCATGGGAATGAGCATGGGAATGAGCATGGGAATGAGCATGGGAATGAGCATGGGAATGAGCATGGGAATGAGCATGGGAATGAGCATGGGAATGAGCATGGGAATGAGCATGGGAATGAGCATGGGAATGAGCATGGGAATGAGCATGGGAATGAGCATGGGAATGAGCATGGGATGAGCATGGGAATGAGCATGGGGATGAGCATGGGAATGAGCATGGGAATGAGCATGGGAATGAGCATGGGAATGAGCATGGGAATGAGCATGGGAATGAGCATGGGAATGAGCATGGGAATGAGCATGGGAATGAGCATGGGAATGAGCATGGGAATGAGCATGGGAATGAGCATGGGAATGAGCATGGGAATGAGCATGGGAATGAGCATGGGAATGAGCATGGGAATGAGCATGGGAATGAGCATGGGAATGAGCATGGGAATGAGCATGGGAATGAGCATGGGAATGAGCATGGGAATGAGCATGGGAATGAGCATGGGAATGAGCATGGGAATGAGCATGGGAATGAGCATGGGAATGAGCATGGGAATGAGCATGGGAATGAGCATGGGGATGAGCATGGGGATGAGCATGGGGAATGAGCATGGGGATGAGCATGGGAATGAGCATGGGAATGAGCATGGGATGAGCATGGGGATGAGCATGGGGATGAGCATGGGATGAGCATGGGGATGAGCATGGGGATGAGCATGGGGATGAGCATGGGGATGAGCATGGGATGAGCATGGGAATGAGCATGGGAATGAGCATGGGATATGAGCATGGGAATGAGCATGGGGATGAGCATGGGGGAGAGCATGGGGATGAGCATGGGGATGAGCATGGGGATGAGCATGGGGATGAGCATGGGAATGAGCATGGGGATGAGCATGGGGAATGAGCATGGGGATGAGCATGGGGATGAGCATGGATGAGCATGGGGATGAGCATGGGGATGAGCATGGGGATGAGCATGGGGATGAGCATGGGGATGAGCATGGGGATGAGCATGGGGATGAGCATGGGGATGAGCATGGGGATGAGCATGGGGATGAGCATGGGGATGAGCATGGGATGAGCATGGGGATGAGCATGGGGATGAGCATGGGGATTGAGCATGGGGATGAGCATGGGGATGAGCATGGGGATGAGCATGGGATGAGCATGGGGGATGAGCATGGGGATGAGCATGGGGTATGAGCATGGGGATGAGCATGGGGATGAGCATGGGGATGAGCATGGGGATGAGCATGGGGATGAGCATGGGGATGAGCATGGGGGATGAGCATGGGGATGAGCATGGGGATGAGCATGGGGATGAGCATGGGGATGAGCATGGGGATGAGCATGGGGATGAGCATGGGGATGAGCATGGGGATGAGCATGGGGATGAGCATGGGGATGAGCATGGGGATGAGCATGGGGATGAGCATGGGGATGAGCATGGGGATGAGCATGGGGATGAGCATGGGGATGAGCATGGGATGAGCATGGGATGAGCATGGGGATGAGCATGGGGATGAGCATGGGGATGAGCATGGGGATGAGCATGGGGATGAGCATGGGGATGAGCATGGGGATGAGCATGGGGATGAGCATGGGGATGAGGATTCGGGGGATGGCGACGGGGCAGTACTCATTGGCGAGGTGGTGGATAGTCCCACGGAACCCGCGCCGTACCTTGGCGTCGCATTCGGAGCAACAGCACCACTCGCCAACTGCAGCCCCGGCCCTGGCTCCAGCCCTTGCTTCGTCCCCGGTGCAAGCTTGGGCATGGACACGGGGAGCGGCGGCGGAGTGTCGGGGTGCGGCGTGCGCGCGCAGCAGAGCATGATGACGTCTCCCGCGCAGCACTCCGCGCTGCAGCCGCCGCCCGTCGCGTTATACGCTGGGGGACAGTGGCCGCAGCAGGGGCAGGGGCACGGGGGGCAGGGGGGGCAGCAGTGGCAGCAACAGGCGGAGCAGCAAAGCCAGGGGCAGGGGCAGGGGCAGGGGCAGGGGCACGCATGGTGCTGTGGGTGGCAGGAGCAGCAAGCAGCAGCGCGGCAAGTCCCCCCGCGTGTGCTCCATCGCTGCCAATCCGTGCCCGTGGAGACTCCCCATCGCCCCCGCCGCTCGCCCCCACCCCCGCACGCCCCAGTCCGCCCGGCCACCTCCCCCAAACCCGCCGTGCGCGCCCCGCACCGCCGCCCTCCGCCAGTGCTGCTCCCCTCCGCGCCCCCCGCCGACGACATCTCTCTTGCTGCGCCTGTCACTTCCCCCCTTGCTGCGCCCGTTGCCTCCCCCCTTGCGCCCGCCTCCGCGCCCCTCACGGGGCAACGGAACTCGGCACTGCGCCCCGAATCCGCGGAGAGGGCAGCGCGGCGCAGACCAGCGTCCGCGCGAGTGAGGGGCCAGGCGGGAACAGAGGCAAGTAGCAGGGATGAGAGCAGTGGCGTTGGCGCAAGCAGCGCTCTTGAGACCGCTGCTCCTGGTGCTGCTGCTGCTTCTGCTGTTGCCACGCCAAGGGCTCTGCCTTCCTCCCCAGTGCCACTGGCCGAAAGAGCAGCAGCAGTAGCAGCAGCAGCAGCAGGTGGTGGTGGTGGGGGCACATCCAGCAGAGGGAATCCAAGCCGTGCTGCGCAGTCATCTAGGGCTCACCATGACTCTTCCCTCTCGTCGTCCCTCCCACACGCCCCGTGCCAGTCTTCTGCAGTTACCACATCTGTTGCTCTATCCACTCGTCCTTCATCCGCTGCTCCCACCACTGGTAGTAGCAGCACTGGCAGTGGCAGCGGCAGTGGCACTGGCAGTGTCAGGGGCACGAATCGCCGGAGAAACGACAGCATTGGCAGCAGCGGGAGCAGCAGCAGCAGCAGCAGCAGGGCAGGTTCACTGCACGTGGACATGCTTGCATCGCCGGTTGTTCCCAGCCCTCGCATGCCACAAGCGTGCTTCCCTCGCTCCGTTTCCGCCTCTGCTGGTGAACCCTCTCCCTCTGCTGCCACTGCTTGTAACCCTGCTAACCCTGCTGGCGGTGCTGGCAGCAACATGCATTCCCCTGTCAATTATGCCGCATCAGCTGTGGCAGGAGGAGCAGGGAGGACCCACTATCGTCCCATGTACCCACGCTCCTCCTCCACCCCCACTACTGCTCCCGCCACCCATACCACCCGCAGCCGAATCACCGTTAAGCTCATGGCCATGCCCATGGAGCATGTGGAGTATGTGCACGCCACTCACTCTCCTGCTGCTGCTTCTGCTGCTGCTGTTGGTGGCGGTACCGCTGCTGGTGGTGGTTGTAGGGGTTCTGGGAGCAGTGTTACCAGTGTGGGGGCTGCATCTTTGTCCCCCCAGAAGCAGCGACCGGAAGGGGCAGGTGCAGGAAGTAGCAGTGCAGGCAGCAGTGCAGGGAGTAAGGGATGGGCGCAGAGGAGAGGAGATGCGCTCATGGCCCATAGTCTCAAGCAACAGGGTGCAGCAGAGCAGGATGTAAGGAGCCACAGGCAGCACAGAGAGAAGAACATGGTTGTTACCTCTGCTGCTGCTGCTGCTGCTGCTGCTGCTGCTGCTGCGGCTGGTGGTGCCTCATCTGCTGCTGCTGGTGCTGCTGGTAAGGCCTCTGTGCGAGACAGCAGCAATAGGGGCGGAAACACCAGCACTGGCAGCAGCAGCAGCAGCAGCAGCAGCAGCAGCAGCAACAGCAACAGCAAGGGCAGCAGCAAGAGCAGTGGGAGTAAGATTGTGGTGAGGAAGGAAAATATGGAGAGCAGAGACAGTATCAGCAGCAGCAAGAGCAGTGGGAGTAAGGTAGCAGTGAGGAAGGAAAATACGGAGAGCACTGACAGTATCAGCAGCAGCAAGCGCAGTGGGCATAAGGTGGCAGTGAGGAAGGAGAATCTTCTGAGCACTGACAGCAGCAGCAGCAGCTGCAGTGGAAGCGGCAGTGGTAGCAGCAGCCGGGTTGGTGCCATGTGCAAGCAGGCAAGCTCAGGTTCCAAGGTGCGAAGCATGAAGAGACAAGTTTCTCCTACCATCAACGTCAGTGTTGCTGCTGGTGCTGCCGCTGTTGCTGTGACTGCTGCCGTGGCTGCTGCACCTGTACAGAGAGTTTATGTGTAGGTTGGAGTGGCAGCCTGGCTGAAACTCCTGTACATTTTGTTAAATGCCATACAGATTAAAAAAATGTTACAGTAACTGTTTTGTATCAACACGATAGGCCATGCAAACACAGAATCTGATTCAATACACCTGTATTGATACAATATTAGGTTAAACACAGTGCACTCTCTGGCTCAGAGCATGTGGTACTGCACTATACAAGGATCAAACAAGAGTTCTCCCACACACAAAAGCCAACCAGATCACAAGCATCTATAGCTAGCATCTCTCACGACAAACACACAAGCAGTGCGCACCGCATACTGCCCAACACTCGTGCGCAGCCACGCAGGCACGCAGGACCACCGTGCTGCAGACTATGCCGAACCGAGAGCATGGGGCCAAGCAGGATGCCAAACAGGAAGCCAAGCCACGGGGAGAGCACTAGGAGGAGCGCTACGCATAGTAATGGGGTGAGGTATATAGGTGGAGGAATAGGCAGAGCGCTAGAAGGACGAGGAATGGTGATGAGGGGCGCGCGAGGAGTGGGGCAGGATGGAGGGTCTCAGGCAGGCGGCAGGGCCCACTCCTCATTTCAGAGGAAGAGAGTCAGAGGATGCGGCGATGCTTGAGGTGATTTTTGCGGCGCCTCAAAAGAGGACCCACTTGAGAGGATGAGAGTCAGAGGATGCGGCGGTGCTTGAGGTAGGCAAGCATGGCGAGGAAGAGAAGCACGCCCCCAAACACTATGCCAAACGTTGCTGTCCAAAAGGCAAGCTGTGTGCCCGCGCGCACGCACGCACGCAGGCAGGAAGGCAGGCAGGCATCCATGCACGTGGGAGACGAGACGAGGGGATGGGGGGGAGGAGGGGTTGAGGATGATGAGAGTCAGTCAGACGATGCGGCGGTGCTTGAGGTAGGCAAACATGGTGAGGAAGAGAAGCACGCCCCCAAACACTATGCCGAATGTGGCTGTCCAGAAGGCAGGCTGTGCCCGCGCATGTACGGGATCGAGGGTGGGGGAGCGGGAGGGCGGGGAAAGAGGAGGGGACATAAGGTGCGGGGAAATATGGTGCGGGGAAATAAGGTGAGGTGAAAAAGTTGGGAGGTGTTGCAAAGGTGGGAGAGGGGGAGCGGGGGCGCTTCGGGAGAGCACGCAGGATGGAAAGATTGACAACAGGCAGGCAAAAGGAAGGGTAAGCGAAGCGAAGGGGCCGAGTGGGAACACAGCAGGAGAGATGGGAGGGAGTGGGAGGGAGCGGGAGGGCTACGGGAGGGAGTGGGGGGGCGGGCAAGGTGTAGGGAGGAATAATAGGCTTACCGCGCTCTCCTCTAGGCGATTGCGCAGGTTCATGCCAAAGATGCCTGCACGGGGCACAGGTGGCGGTGATGGTGGTGGTGGTGGTGGTGGTGGTGGTGGTGGTGGTGGTGGTGGTGGTGGTGGTGGTGGTGGTGGTGGTGGTGGTGGTGGTGGTGGTGGTGGTGGTGGTGGTGGTGGTGGTGGTGGTGGTGGTGGTGGTGGTGGTGGTGGTGGTGGTGGTGGTGGTGGTGGTGGTGGTGGTGGTGGTGGTGGTGGTGGTGGTGGTGGTGGTTTGGGGGGGAAGGGGGACATTGAAGACTTAAAAAAAAAGAGGAACCGAAAGGGGCGGAATGGGCCCAGGAAAGGGGGTGGAGGGAAGGGACAAGAGTGGGGCGTACGGAGCGGATAAGGAAGCAAGGGAAGCGTTTGGGCGGTGTACGGTGTGCGCCCACCGTGTATGAAAAAGTGGTTTGAGACGTCTCCAAACACTTCTTCATACACGGGAAGCGTGTGGGCGGTGTACGGTGTGCGCCCACCGTGCTAGAGCTGGTGACTGGTGAGGATTGAGTGTGTCTGGTGTAAGCACAAGGAGAAGCAAGGATAGTGGACAAGGGGCGTGGGTGCATAGGAGAGAACGATGGCGGGTGAGCAGGGGATAACAGGAGCAGTCAATACAGCGATTGGAGGCAGTCAATGGAGGGGCAGAGTGGTATGAACCACCCGCACTGCACTGCACTGCACTGCACTGCACTGCACTGCACGCACCTGCAATGAGTGCTCCCAGCGCTGCAGCGAATGTGCCCACCTGCAGCAACAGCTCCAACCGCCCCACCTCCAAGCGCCGCGAACTGGCAGGGGGGAGGGGAGAGGCAGGGGGAAGGGGAGGAGGCGGGGGAAGGGAGGCGACAGGGATTGAGGTGGGTAAATCAGGAGATGAGGGCCGGGAGTGGGGAAAGAGTGTGTAAATGCCAAGGCGTGTGGGAGGGGAAGTGAGTGGGTGTGGTGATGGGGTTGGATGGACGGGACAGGATGGATCACTTCACACGTACACACGCTCCACATAACTCTGCACAGCACTTGCACGCATCACATGTCGCACAATAAGGGCAGGGCAGGGCAGGGCAGGGCAGGGCAGGGCGGGGCAGGGCAGGGCAGGTGTGGGTGGGACACCTGAGGTTGACAGCGATGGAGTCCTCCATCTCCTTGGCTGAGTCCAGCAGCTTCTCCGACTGCCCATGGCACGACTCACACCTGATGCGTACCGCACACAGGGGGCACACGGACGAGGGACAGGGCACAGGGCACAGGGCACAGGGCACAGGGCAGAGGGCAGAGGGCAGAGGTCAGAGGGAGATGGTGAAGGGAGCACACGCAAGGAGGCAGGGATGCAACAACAGGAATGAAAATCTCGAGAGCCACAGCAGCAGCGGCAGCGGCGGTGGTGACAACAGCAGCAGCGCAACAACAGAAGCAGTCGGACAGCAGCAACAGCAGCAGCGTACCTCTGCAGGTAGTACCTGACCTGAACACCATCTCTATCTCCAAACATAATTCTCAGAAAAGCTGCAGTAGTGAAGCTAGACTTGAAGCAGAAGAACAAACAGCCAGCTAGGTACGGTGCAGTAACAACAGAGGCATCATCAGCAGCATACCTCTGCAGGTAGTACTCAAACACCATCTCTATCTCCTGCTCCTCCTCTGCCCGCACCCACACAGGCAGGCAGGTACGCACATGGATTGAGAACAGAAAGGACATAGGAGACAACACAGGTCAGGGAATAGGAAAGGGAATGGGAGGGAAAAGGTAGTACTCGAACAACATCTATATCTCCTGCTCCTCCTCTGCCCGCACCCACACAGGTGAACACATGGACAGGAAGGACAAGAGAGACAAGGAGAGGTCATCGGGCATGGAATGAGAGGCAATAAGAGGCAACGAGAGGGAAGGGGGGGAAATGGAGGGAAGGAGAGGTGAGGGGAGTGATTAGAAAGGCAGACCAGGAGGAGAGCTGCAGAGAGCATGTCAGGTGTGAGCTAGTGAGATGACTTTTGAGTCAACTCAAAAGTCAGGAGAGCTGCAGAGAGCATATCAGGTGTGAGCTAGTGAGATGACTTTTGAGTCGACTCAAAAGTCAGGAGAGCTGCAGAGAGCATATCAGGTGTGAGCTAGTGAGACGACTTTTGAGTCGACTCAAAAGTCAGGAGAGCTGCAGAGAGCATATCAGGTGTGAGCTAGTGAGACGACTTTTGAGTCGACTCAAAAGTCAGGAGAGCTGCAGAGAGCATATCAGGTGTGAGCTAGTGAGACGGAGTAGGGTGGAGTGAGGGGGGCAGCACAAGCAGAGCTCCACGTCCCCACCGTCTGCCCCACGCCCCCTCGGCCCCTCTCTCATCGCCCTTCCCACCCACCCATCCGCACCTTCAGCCAGCAGCGTGTCAGCAGCAGAGGGGCACTCAAAAGCGCCGTCCTTGTTGACACGGCACTGCCTGTCAATGGCCGTGATCCGTCTGAGCTCATTCGTGTGTTCCAGCAGCTCCAGCAGCATCTGTCTGAGCGCGCCCGCCTTGGACCCCAGCTCCACCAGCGCTGTTACCTCCACCTCTGCACTTCCCTCCCTCCTCACCCCTTTCCCCCCATTTCTCCCTTCCCCTCGACCACCCCCCCCCCAAACCCCCACCCACCCACCTTCAGCCAGCAGCGTGTCGGCAGCGGTGGGGCACTCAAAAGCGCCGTCCTTGTTGACCCGGCACTGCCTATCTATAGCAGTAATCCGCCGCAGCTCATTCGTGTGTTCCAGCAGCTCCAGCAGCATCTGTCTGAGCGCGCCCGCCTTGGACCCCAGCTCCACCAGCGCCTGCTTGCTCAGCCGCAGCTCCTCTAGATTGTCGGCCGTGAGACGGTTGGGGAGGACTTCGAGCAGGGAGAGCACGCGCGGCTCTATGTCCATTAGGGCACTCTCCAGGCGTTGAGTGCGGGAGATGAGGGCTGATTCTACCACCTGGAGGACGCGGGTGGTGGGCGGAGAGGGGAGTGAGAGGGCACGGGGAGGCGAGCAGGAGGTGGGGCGTGAGGTCAGCTCCACTCCACCAGCGCCTGCTTGCTCAGCCGCAGCTCCTCTAGATTGTCGGCCGTGAGGCGGGGCGGTTGGGGAGCACCTCTAGGAGAGACAACACGCGGGGTTGTATGTCCATTAGGGCCGATTCGAGGCGCTGCGTGCGCGATATGAGGGCTGATTCCACCACCTGAGGAGGGAGGGCGGGGTGAGAGGGAGGAGAGGCGGGAGAGAGGGGAGAGGGGGGAGAGGGGGGAGAGAGGGGAGAGGGGGGAGAGAGGGGAGAGAGGGGAGAGGGGGGAGAAGAAGGGGTGTGAGGTGGGGTTAAGGGGGTGGGTGCAGTGCGAGTGGGGTGGGATGGAGGGGAGGGGGAAGAGACTGAATGACTGACGACGAACTGAATGAAAATTGAGACTGACTGACGGACTGACTGACTGACTGACTGACTGACTGACTGACTGACGGACTGATGAACTGACCTCGAGTTCGAAGGGCACAGCAGGTCCCCCACTGATGGACACGTCAGCATCCAGGCGCAGGCGCTCCAGCAGCACCTCCACGAATGACTGCGCTCCCACACTGGCGCACGGGGGCGAGGTGGAGGAGAAGGAGGAGGAGCGGAGAGGTAAGGGAGAAGGAAGGGGGGAAATAGCGAGAAGAGGTTGGGGATGGAGTGTGAGCGGGGGGTGAAGGCATTTTGGAAAGGCGAGAGTGGGAGAGAGGAGAGGAGAGGCGGAGGCAGAGGCAGGGGGCGAAGATGCGGACGGTGTTACAAAGTACTACCAACAACTACTGCCACGTATCGAACTCAATGGCACCTAATTGGTGTCCTCTTCCACAGAGGCAGGGGGCGAAGATGCGGACGGTGTGTGCGGTGGGAGGGCGGTAGGGGGAGAGGCAGGGGGGTGGGCGCACCTGTTGTAGTCGAATATGAGGACGGTGTGTGCTGTGGAGATGGCAGGAGGGCGGGAAGGCGGGAGGGCAAGAGGGAGGGAGGCAGGCAGGCAGGCCGCACCTGTTGTAGTCGAATATGAGGACGGTGTGTGCTGTGGAGATGGCTCGCAGCGACCCTAGATTCAGCAGAATGGCGCTGTCCCGCACCTGGTGGGCGCGCAGAGAGGGGTGAGGTGCGGGGGAGAGGCGCGGGGTGAGGTGCGGGGGAAAGGCGCGGGGTGAGGCAGGAGGGTTTGAGGGAAGGGGAGATGAGGGGGGTGAGGGGATGGGGGAGGGTGCAGACACGGTGCAGGGGCGCATGGTTGGGTTGGGGGGTGGGGGGGGGGGGGGGGGGTAAGGGAGGAGCAGAAGGGTGGAGGTGAGGGAGGGAGGAGAACGCAAGGTGGATGCGGGAATACGGAGGGGGGCGTAAGGCATGGCTGGGATGCGAGAGCGCAGGAGCAGAGCAGCGGCAGTGGGGCTGACGGGTCGGCAGAGAAGAGCAGAGCGAGAGAGAGGGAGAGAAGGAGAGAGGGAGAGAAGGAGAGAGGGAGAGAGGGAGAGAAGGAGAGAGGGAGAGAGGGAGAGAAGGAGAGAGGGAGAGAAGGAGAGACGGAGAGAAGGAGAGAGGGAGAGAAGGAGAGAGGGAGAGAAGGAGAGAGGGAGAGAGGGAGAGAAGAAGAGAGGGGGAAAGGGAGAGAGGGAGAGAAGGAGAGAGGGAGAGAGGGAGAGAAGGAGAGAGGGAGAGAAGGAGAGACGGAGAGAAGGAGAGAGGGAGAGAAGGAGAGAGGGAGAGAAGGAGAGAGGGAGAGAAGGAGAGACGGAGAGAGGGAGAGAAGGAGAGAGGGAGAGAGGGAGAGAAGGAGAGACGGAGAGAAGGAGAGAGGGAGAGGAAAGAGGGAGAGAAGGAGAGACGGAGAGAGGGAGAGAGGGAGAGAAGGAGAGAGGGAGAGAGGGAGAGAAGGAGAGAGGGAGAGAAGGAGAGAGGGAGAGAAGGAGAGAGGGAGAGGAGGAGAGAGAGGAGAGAGGGAGAGAAGGAGAGAGGGAGAGAAGGAGAGAGGGAGAGAAGGAGAGAGGGAGAGAAGGAGAGAGGGAGAGAAGGAGAGAGGGAGAGAAGGAGAGAGGGAGAGAAGGAGAGAGGGAGAGAAGGAGAGAGGGAGAGAAGGAGAGAGGGAGAAGAGAGAGGGAGAGAAGGAGAGAGGGAGAGGGCGAGGGGGAGAGGGCGGGTGCAGCACGCACAAGGATGGCGGGCATGGAGTTGGTGACCCACAGCGAGGGGTCAATGCGCCTCACGTCCCGCTGGGTCAGCCCTGTGCCGCGCACACGCACAGACGTGGGGGGGAAGGGGCAGGAGGTAGTTGGGAGGGGAGAGGAGGAAGGGGGGTAGGGGCAGGGGGGAGGGATAAGGGCGTGGTGCGTGGTGTGGGGTGTGCGGGTGTGCAGGTGTGGGTGTGTGGGTGAGCGGCGAGCAGCGAGGCTGGAAGCAACTGCGAATTGCATGCGGTGTCCTTGTGGCGGTGCGTGTGTGCCATGTCCTTTGATGACCATCCCATCCCATCCCATCCCATCCCATCCCATCCCACCCACTCCATCGCACCACTGATCTTGAGCAGCTGTCGTCGGCTCGCTTCCCGTTGCCACACATCGCCGCGTCCGTTCACCTCCAGCACCTGCCACTCCATGGCGCACAATGCCACACAATGCCTCACAATGCCACACAATGCCACACGTTGCCGAACAATAACGCCATACCACGTGGTACCATCAGCATGAAACCAGGGCCCCATGTGCAAGGGTGCACAGATAAGACAACCGTTCCGGGGGCGGCAAACAGAAAACCATGGGACGGCATGGGATGCTGCCGGTAGGTGCTGCTGCGAAACAGGTGAGAGCAACAGCACGAGAGCACGAGAGACGGTTCACAGATTCCCACGCACGCACGCACTCACGCACTCACGCACGCACGCACGCACCCATCCAAGCACGCACGCAAGCGCGCACCTGGTAGACGGGTTCTTTGGCCAGGGTCATCAGCTCCTAGCAGATCTTCACACATTTCCAGTACCGGTCGTGCCGCCGTACCCACCCACCCATCCATCCATCCACGCACCCACCCACCCACCCACCCACGCACGCACGCACGCACGCACGCACCTGGTAGACGGGTTCTTTGGCCAGGGTCATCAGCTCCTGCTGCAGCGCTGGTCGCGTCGCCGCAGCGGACGCCGCCTCCCACCACGTCCGCCCCAGCGCCACCGACCCGCCCGCGCCGCCGCTCCGCTCATCCTCGCCGTCGCGACCGCTGTTGCTGGTGGTGGTGGTGGTGCGGCTGCTGCTACTTACACTGCTAGCTCTCCCGCTGCCACCGCCGCCGCCGCTGCTGCTGCTGCTGCGAGTCGCCTCGCTTTCCTCTGTAGCGGCACTCGCGGCGCCACTTGAGCCGCCGCTGCTGTCAGCTTCGCTCGGGACAACGACTCCCAGCCGCCCATTCACCACCTGCCCGTTCAACTGCCCGGAAACCACCTGATCCTTCGCCTTCTGCTTGCTACTCTGCCCGTTCACAGCCTGCCCTTCCACTGCCCTTCCATCAGCTTTGTGACCGAGCTTCTCGAGCTTCTCGAGCTTTTCAAGCTTTTCAAGCTTTTCAAGCTTTTCAAGCTTCTCCATGACCCGCTTCCCTTCATCGTCGATATGCCAGATCTCGTACTCCTGCGGGCTGTGCCGGTAGTGCGGCTCGTCACCACCACCCGACACCACCTTCTTGATCTCATCTATCACCGGTCGCTCGCTGAAGCCGCCGCCCCCCGTCCCTCCCGAAACGGCGGCCTTGCCTTTCGCCAGGCGGCTTTTCTTCTTGCCCACAGCGCCCCGGGAATGGCCAGCGGAGCCAACAGACGTGGCTGACGTGGCAGGCGCGGTTGACGTGGACGGCGGAGGAGGAGCTGCAGCGGCAGCAGAAGCAGTACCCGCAGCTTGCGCCGAAGAGTCCGGTCCTGGCGGTTCTGCGAATGAGGAGGACGCGGGTGAAGGGCTGACAGTGGCGTTTGCGGCGGCAGACGCGGCGAGATGGAGCGTATCGAGCGTCGCGCGAGGGCTGGGAATGACAACGGAGTGAAACACGCTGTCCTCGTCATCCTCGCCGTCCACGCTGAAAACGCCGCCGTCCGGATACTCGATCCTGCCGCGGCTCGGACTAAGCGCCCGGCCTCCGCCGCCAGTTGCGGCGCTGCTAGTGCGCCGCCTTACGCCGGCTTCGCTGGGTCTCGGTCGCCCCCACGTGATCTTGGCGCGCGCGGACCGCCGCCTTGCGGAGTCCGCGGCTCCCGCAATGGCGGAATCACGGCGTGCAGGGGGCGTCGCGCGCTTTCCGCCGTCGTGGCGCGCGGCATGGAGAACCCAGACGGGTCTAAGGCTCCGAGAACGAGATAACGAACCATCTAGGCTACGGCACGGTTCGTATGTGAGTGCGACGCAACTCCTGCTCGCTAGGCAAGACGCCTCCATTCCAGGAAAAGCCACCAGCGGCAGTGACCAGTATGGCGACGCAGTTCTAGGAGGCAGCGGACGGTTACAGATCAAATAAGGTAACCACCACGTCGAACGGCCGTTGATGATTAAAAACGTCGAGAACGCAAGGTCGGATGATGAGGATGCACAGCCAGTCTTGGAAAGGAAACTTTGGCGGCGGTTCTAGATACATCCGCGTGCGTTTCGTCCTGGAAATGAGAAGGGATGGCAAGGCGAAACGAGGCGATGGGCGACGCCTTGGTGGAAAGGAAAGGCTAACCTGTACCGTGTAAGGGCGCGTGTCTAAAGTTCGGCCAAAGTTCATGTTTTTTAGTCGAATTTTTGCAATTGAACACAGGTCGACCTGTAGTCGACTATCTCGTCATTTCATTGTCGAGTCGCGTGTTCACCTTGACGTGGAGCACATGGCACAAGAAATGCTCGACTTTCAAAGGTCGAATTTGTACAGTAAAATCCGAGTCGCGCGAAGTTTCTTAGGTTACCCTGTCTATACAGTGAAGTTCGTTAGCACTTTCAACTCGGGTAACCTGGCACGACGTGGTTCGCAACCATCGCGAATCTCGCAGCTTCTTCGTGCGTGGGCAGAAGAACACACGATTGGAGAAACGTGCTCGGGGATAGTCGAATGCGAGGTCGACCCTAGTTCAGTGTCCTTCTGTTTCAGCAACTTTGAGCTTGGACACATGTTCGTCGTCAATAGCTCTGTACGAAATTGGCGAAGACGGTTACCATCAAAAGTTCGACCTTTTTTTCGAACTTTTACACCAAAAGAAACGCGCCCTAAGGCCGACGCACCAATTACGATGGCGGTACCTACCCCTCGTCAAACGCACTAGCAGTGCTGTATGCAGTTTTCCGAGCCTGTGTGGTACAGAACTTTTGGGTGGACCGGGTACTTTCATACCCCAGGCTCGAAAACTTTTGGCAGGTATGAGGGTCGTTTCAAGATGGCTGGATGCGATAAATCGTGGTTTTGTTCTATACTGAGCAACTCTGCTGTGGTTGTGGTGGTTGTTCAGCTAGTTTGACTGCAACTTTGTGGGCCACGGGCAGCCGCACCCAAATCTTCTTCCCGGGCGAGCTGGAAGGGCCACGAGAGGCTTCCTCTCGCCACGGCAGTTCGCGGGCCTACGTGGCAACCTGAAGCCCACAGAGATTTCTACCAATTGGTATTGCCGCGCCGAGTCATCACCTAGTCACGTCCAATTCGAGATCGTCAAAGCATACTGCACAATGTGATTATATAAACTAAGTTCTCTCACACAAATTGGCTCAATTCAAATTATCATAATGTACATAATTCACTTCAGATGAGGCTTCTGCTGCATAACCGTGAGGAGAAACGAGGGTACACATACGTCCTCAATCCCCTAAAATCAAGTGTAAGGATGATAACAAACTATTTGTTTAACCAAGGTGCACCATTGTAACATGTTCAACCACTTACCGCACTAGTATGCCCAGGCCTGGAACTTCTGTTGAAGACAGCAGCACCAGTGAATGTATATTTACCTCACAAGAAATCAATAAAATTTCAGCCTTTATTGTACATCAGCATGCATGTCACAACAAAAAGGGGATCACTAAACACATGGCTGTACCCCCTAATCTAACATGGACTGACTGAACGACCGGAAGACCTCGAAGACACAGCAAGCAGATGCTAGAAAAGAGGGTGACAAAAAATAGTGGGCAGCGCTGCAGATGAGAGCAGGAGGGGAATTCACAGTCACATGGCAAGTGGAATGGGGAGCCGAAACGACGAGCACACTGACAGAAACATTTTTGCTATGCGGTGGCCTGAACTCAACGGAACCAACTAGCAGAGCACTTGACCGTGACCTGTTTTTTGTCTTGGCAAGTAAACTCGCTAAAGCCTCTGTTGAAGCAGACTAGCAGTTGACTAGAAACGAGTAGGTGCCAGGCGCGGACGGACTAAACACTGGAGTGCCAGCGTTCCCATCGGGTGATTGGTAGTTGCAAGCCTGCGATGACAGCAAACGGCAGCGACCTGCAGAGAAAAGACGGGCAGAGGGAAAATTTTAGACACAAACGTTTCTATGCTGTCAGAATGATAAGGAAGGAGCACGCGTTGCGAGACTACTCCGCACAACAGCACACGGCATTTCGACAGCGCAAGGCAGCAAGCAGAAACTGCTTACCGAGGCCGTTGGAGCTGCGCTCCCACGTGAAATACTTGACGTCTTCTTGCCACATGTTGGCCGCCGTGTTGTAGCATTCCGTCACCGACACCAGGCCCTTATCCGCCACCAGCGTCGGCCCCGTCGCCGGCGAGTAGCTCTCGTAGATCCGCCCGGCCTGCGCGCCGGGGAAGGTGCTGAGATTGTCCGTGGCGGACGGCGCGGAGCCGGTGCAGGTGAAGGTGGGGCAAGATGTGTTGGCGGCGGGTGGCGGGGTGACGGGAGCGCCGCAGCGCTTGAAGGCGTAGATGTTGATCGACGAGTACACGCGGAACTTGCCGTAGTTTCCGAAGCTGCACTGCGAGTCGTCGAACAGCGCGCAGCGACCTGGGAGAAGGGCAGGCGGAGGGGAGGGGTGAGCGAGTGCGGAGAGAGAAGGGGGAGAAGCTAGGCAATGGGGAGGGGGGAGGAATGGGGCGGGGAAGATGTTTCGTTGGTGGGTAAAGGAAGCTAGGGCAGTCGCGGAAAAATCGTGGGCAGGGAAGTCTCGGTGTGTTGATGAAAGCAATCACAACACGGAAAGGGTGCGTAAGAGCCAGAAACAGACAACGAGGGTACAAGTACTAAGCGAATACTAAGCAGCGGTGAAGCGTACCGTCCGTGGTGTCCTGCTTCTGGTACCAGTGCCAGTAGGCACACCTATCGTTCGCAAGGCACTTGGCGCAGCAGCTCTGGATCGGCATGAACGCGGTATTCGTGTCCTCGGGATTCAGCAGCGTGCCTTGCGGCCCGCTGTCGGTGGCGGACGGGTGAGCGAGATAGCCGCCGAGTTGCACGCCGTTGTAGGTGGCGATGGTTGGGAGGGACTCGGTGGTGGGGCAGGCGAGACACGAGCCTTGACGCTCCGGGCATCTCCTGTACGCCTGAGACGCCGCATCGGCAGATGTACCCACCAGGAGCACCAATGCAAGGACCGCAAAAAATCTAGACGCCATGGCGGCACGGACGGTGCTGGGGCGTATATGGTTGTTACAACTATGTCGGTCTACGCTGTGTCAGGATTAGATGGTAGAAAAAGAAAGGGTTGTATTTTGTGAAGCAGTTAGGTGTGGGAGTTGGTTCGGCGGAGAGCTATGGCTGCTGGCTGAGGGTGGGTTGGGTGTGCTGTGTGCTGGGCTCGAGGACTAGAATGCTGGCTGCTGGCGATTTTGGACTGAGATGCCCCCCTCCCCGCTCTTAGGATTGGCCACTCTCTCTCCCCCAAGGCAGACTGCCTGCTTGCTGCGCTGCTCTGCTTGTGTTGACTTTCTCTCCTCCAGTCCGACTGTCCCCCATTTCCCATCACCTCCGCTCCGCAACCGCTAGTTTCCGACGCGCGCGAACCCTGGCTGGCTTTCGCGAACTGCCTGGTGTGTGAGTGGGAGGGACGCGACAAGTCTGACGGTCACAACCAGGCCTGTCGATGTTCCTGGGGCCCATACTTGGAGCCCCCAGCTCCTCCCTATCTGACCCTGTATTGGCCGTAGCTGAGTGTTTTGGCGCCCTTAACGGTCACGGGCGCAGGCCGAAGTGGAAACTTGATATCCGGGCTTGCACTTACACTCTCTTAGCTAAGGGAAAGTTCGGCTGCTCCAAAGCTGACTTAGAGAGATCACAAACACGGGATTGGCTAGAAAACGCTAAGGGAAAAATCCCCTTGCCGCGCTCTCGTGCAACCAAGGAGAAAGGGGGGGGGTGGTGGAGTGGGGGGGTCAGACAGAATTTCTTGGGGGGGGGTCCCTAGAACCGGAAATCAAAACTTTGTGGGTGGGGAAGGCCTGTTTGGAGCACTTAACGCATCCGGGATAGGGTCGAACGAAGCACTTAGTGGCACGGGTACAGGGCGATCCTAACACTTAATGCAGTCGAGCTGGAGCGAAAGTAGCCCGGAATTTCAGGGCATTAAGGGCATATGCCCGTCAATCGGCAGGCCTGGTCACAACTCGACTTTGCTTCGCCGCCATCAGCAGCACCTGTAGACGTGATCTGCACATCTCAGGTGCTGCGACGAACGCGCTGGTCGCTTTGGTGCTCTGCGGTTTCATTGAATCACCAACCGCTTCGTCGCAGAACAGACGCTGTCGTCAACTACGGCAGTTGCGAAACGGAGAGAATTCGGCACGCACAACGGTGATCGTCCGATCAAATGGTCCAACGGATGCTTGTAATTCGCACAAAACGCTTTACACTCGTCGCCGTCGCTGACTACCATTGCCGTTTCGCAACCTCGTTGTCGCCAACCTCCCTGCAAGAATGAGTCAAACCCTGCGACAAAGGCTCAGGTGAATTTTCACGGCAACAGTCCCCTGATGCCCACAAATTCGTACATCTCAGGGGAGATGTGAGAATCAACTGTTGGATGGAAGGAAAAGGCAAGAATGGAGGGAGACGTTCAGAGCGCCACCAACTTCCCCTCAGACCACCACCTCTAGGGAAAACGACAGAATGACATCACCATACATTTTAGTGACGACAAGGTAAATCAAGAACAGATTTCTTTCTCGACCGCTATATTAGTCTGATTCGTTGTTGCAAACAGTCGCCTCTCACAACTTACTACGTCGCCGCATGTAAGGAATATACATCACTTGTAGCGAAATTATATACGGTACTCTTGTCAAACAGTTACACAAATAATTTAATTCTCAAACCAGCACAATTGTACGGTTTTATTCTGTTAAAAATCTGTTCCAAAATTAGACGAGCATCAGCATTGTTTCAAGCCCATACAAAATACTCTCCTCTCGTAACAGACTAAAACCACGGTCCATAAGTGTTTGCTCATGTTGGTGGTGAGATAGATGATGCGGATGGAGGGATGATGTGAGCTCAAGAGGAAGCATGCGAAACTGGCAAGGATGTGCAGTGGCTGCGGATCATGGGTGGGGGGAACACAACAGGATGATACACTTCAAACAACAGGTAAAGGAGCAAGTACCACGCTTTCATAGATGCAAAAGAAGTGGTACGAGCGCAACAGACTGACAGGTTTATGGGGATGGTTGAAGGTGAGAGAGCGTACGCAGTGAGAGGAACGTTTGAGGAAGCCATCGCAAGAGGTGGTGAAAGCGGGCCACCACAGCAGCAGCACGAGGAGGCAGGGCTACAGATAGTGCAGCAGGCAGCGGTGAAGTCACGGGCAGAAACACGTCTGGATCAAGAGCGGCATCAGGAAAGCACTCTGAAACAACCAACGTGCAACCAGTGACAGCAGCAGTGGCAGGAGCGCCAGCGGCAGTGGCAGGGGCAGTGTTGCTGCTGGTGGGGGAATGAGAGGAGGTATGGCTGGCAGGGTCGATGCTGGAGGTGTTACTTGTGGTTCCTGCTTGGCTGGATCAGTGCAGAGACAGAGAAAGGTACAAGGCAGTGTGTGAAGGAGTGAAAACTATGGAAGACAGGTGACGCGAGAAAACACGACCCTAGGAGCAAACAGGAGTGGATGGACTGGAATGGAGTAGAATGAAGTGGAATATAAGGGTAAAGGAGAGGTGGTGGTGAGTGGTGACGGCAGCATGCCTGAGGAACGCAGCAGCATCAGCCAGCAGCGCCACAGAGCGCACTGCTTCCATCTCCCGCTGCTTCGCTGTGCTGCCAGAGGGGCAAGCAGGCAGCACAGCCAACACACACACACACAGGGAGACAAATGGAGTGGGAGGGACATGGCGGGTCAGACACACGACTGATACCTCTCACACACAGTCAATGCTCTCTCTAGCAAGGTTGATGCAGAGAGTATGTCTTCTACCATCTCAGGCCACTGCTGTCACCACAGCACAGTGCACATTTCAGCACACCACATCTGTCTCCCCTGCACCCCTGCACCCATGCACCCGTGCGGTGCACCCGTGCACCCCATAGGTGACTCACAGGCCAGGGCGGAGCAAGCTGGTGAGGTCATGCACCAGAATGGCACACGGCAGAGGGGGGACGACAGTTGCGCACGCAGCACGCGGGCTCTGAGGAGTTGCACGGGCTGTAGGTGAAGCGGCGGTGGCAGCGGATGGTGCTGCTGCTGCCTCTGGTGATGGTGCTGGTGCTGATGGTGGTGATGGTGCTGGTGATGGTGATGGTGGTGGATGGGAGGGAGAGGGGTGCGGTTGGGGTGAGGCAGCGAGATGCACGGCAGCTGCAAATTGCCTCAACTCTTCTGTAGACTGCACATAGCTGCCAGAGGTGAGGAGGGGGGGAGGAGGAGAAGGACGAAGAACAGGGTGGAACTTGGAAGTAAGCACGGGGTATGTAAGCAGGGGGGAAGGTGCGGACGGGGGAGGAATGCAGAGACGCAGAGGCATGAACCCAGAGAGGGTGACGATGAACAGGAGAAGTGAGGGCGAGAGGCAGGCGAAAGGGGAGAGGGTTACCGCATGTAAATTTGGTGGAGGAGGGGAGACGAGGGTGAGAGGCTCTGCAGGGAGCAGTGGGGAGCACACAGGGGAGACAAGAGACAAGGACATGTACACTGCCGCCTATATCAATGAAAGGACATGTATGCGCCTCATGGGTGGCATGGATGGCACTGATGGCACTGATGGCACCGATGGCACTGATGGCACTGATGGCACCGATGGCACCGATGGCATGGATGTAGGGGAGTCGATAGACATAGATTCAGTGCCATGCTCACTAGCTTGGGAAGACTGGGCAGGGAGAGAGGCAAAGGGAACGCACGGCAGGGAGCAGCGGCGGGTGCGCGTCGAGGGCGCCCGTGCGTGCGATGAAGATGACGGGGCGGTGCGGATGCGCTGCTGCCAGGCGACACGCCAGGCTCAGCAGAACAGACGACAGCCCGCTGCCGTGTACATGGTGCATTGCACACAAGAGCGGGAGAATGGGGTTGGGGGGGGGGAGGGGAGGAGATTAGACGAGGCAGCACGAAATATGGAAGACGAATTGACACGCGAACCTTCCACGGGTACGATGAACATGGAAACAGGAGAGCGGGGGGGAAAGAATAGAAAAAAAGAACAAGAAACAAACAAGCAAACAAACAAAAACGAGACGACCAGGACAGGGCCGCTGAACGCGCCGAGGCGAGGCGGACGGTGAGGATGACTCTCGCTGAGCCAGAGACCTTAGTTGAACAGAAGAAAATAGCAATTTCTGAGGTGACTGAGCAGAACAGTCGCAGCAATTTCCCCCACCTGCTCGAGGGCCCCAGAACCAGGCAGCGATCTGATTGGCCATCGCTCGCCGGGCATCCGCGCGTCTCCGGCGCCGCGGTGAGGCCCTCTCCATCCAGCCGTCCGTTACTAGATTGGCTCAAGCCATCCTCAGCGCGTTGCTGCGACGCGGGAGTGCTTGAAGGAACCGGCGCCGGGAAGAAGAAATCCGACGCGCGCATCGATTAGAGACGGTAGGAAGGGCTGCGAGAGATTAGAGACGCGCGCATCGATTGGTTGTAGTAGATGCTTCGCGACGGATGTGTCCATGATGTCAGTGCGGAACATCAATGGATAGCATTCTCACTAGTGTGAGGCGCAGGGAAACCAATTTCAAGGTGCTCAGAATGAACCTGTTACTGGCGGATTTGCGGGAGCATAAGAGAAGCGGTGATAAAAAATCTACATGTAATATCGCAATGGTCAACAATATCCACCAGCTACCTTAATTCACAAGACAAACTAGAGAAGCTAAATACAAATCAAGGGTAATATAGCACGCACTACTAGATAATAACATATGTGTATGACGCTATATAAATACACTAATTAAACACGAACAATGAGGTTGATTATTGTCTTTAGACGTGCTTGGACAGAGTTGACTGTGAAGCCAACGACCGTAGAGTCGCAGAGAAGGCACTGTGTCTCCCACTCCCCACAGCCGTGCTGACATTGCTACAGGGAGAATGTGATGGGGGTGAAGGCACAGGCAGAGGGCTGGAGGGAACAGGGCGGGCAGGAACAGGCTGGAGCAGGTTACCATGCCCTGTGATGGGTCTCGTCACAGCAGCAGGAGCACCCGCCACTGCTGCCGCCGCCTCCGCCGCTGCTGCTGCTGCTGCAGCGGCGGTGGCGGCAGCAGCGGTGGCGGCGGCGGTGGCAGTGGTGGTGGCGGCAGGGGTTGCAGCTGCGGCAGCTGATTTTGGTCCTGTGGCCGGTGGCGTTACTGGTCCTGTGGGTGCTGGTGCTGCTGGGCTGATCCCGGTGCAGGCAGCACCTTCAGAGACAGTGGCAGCAGCTGGGGTATGCCCAGGTGTTATGGGAGCAAGAGTGGTAAGAGCGGAAAGAGGAGCAGGAGCAGGAGCAGGAGGAGCAAGAGAAGAAGCAGCGGTGGGAGCACATGATAAAACAGCAGCAGCCTTCGGGGACACGATCGAGGGAGGAGGAGAGGCAGGTGGACAACCGGTTGATGGCGGGAGGGGAGAGGCATCTGAGCGAGGGATGGGACTACTGGGAGCAACCTGGTGCGATGGAGGAGGAGGCGGAGGAGAAGAAAGAGGAGCAGGCGGGGGAGGCGGGGGAGGTGGGGGTGGTGGGGGAGGAGGAGCAGAGGGGCTACCCCGTGGTTGTACAGGTGCGAGAGGGGGAGGGCGTATTGGGCCATCCTTGTAGAGGGTGTGCAGCGCACGGGAGAACTCCAGGAAGTAGGCTGAGAAGGCTGTGGTGCGGGGCAGGAACAGTGGGACGAGCGGCACAGGGGATAGAGAGAACAGACAGGTGGTTGGGAAATCGGATGAGTGCCATGTGATGGGGATCTTGAGGCGAATAAGGTCTGCTGTGTGTGGCGAACGGGCATGGGATGGGACACACACGCAGTGACTAACACACGCAACAGAAAGCAGGAAGGGAGGGAGAGAGCACTGCACCTGGGTACTGCCGTCTGACTGCCTCAAACTCTGCTGAGTCCCACGCAGGCAGCCCCCCCAGCCCCTCTCCTGCGCCCCCTGCCACTCCCACTGCACCACCACCCGTGTCCGACACTCCCCCCCCTTCCGCTGACCCTCCTCCACCCCCGTTTCCCCATATCAACCGCTCCTGCTCCCCACCACCCGTTGCCAGCGTACCATCCGCCTCTTGCCGTAGCCCATGCCCTCCCATGAGCCCAACTCCCCCTGCCATCGCAGCAGCTGCCGCCGCTGCAGCAGCAGCCGCGGCAGCCGCAGCAGCAGTAGCAGCAGCGTTCCTCGATGTTCCAGCATTCAGGCAGTCACTCTCACAACCAGCAACAGCCGCTCCCCTTCCCGCTTCCCCCCCACCCCCAACCCTAAACCCAACCCCACCACCCCCTCCTACCCCCCCTCCCCTGCTTGCTTCCCCTGCAGCTCTTTCAATTTCTGCAGCCGCCACCGCTGCTGCTATTCCCGCCATTCTAAAGTCTGCCGGATCACCGACGCGTGCGTCAATGTTGCCCTTCCCTCCACCCCCCCTCTTAGCCAGAGCTCTCACTGCGTGTGGACGCAGGACCTCCCTGTGGGAATCATTCCCAGAAGTTTCGCCTGCTGCAGCAGCGGTAGCGGCAGCGGCAGCAGCAGCAGAAGCAGTAGGAGACGCCAGATCGCCAGCAGCCGTGGCTGCTGCTGCTGCTGCGGTCTCAGTCCGCCCGATGCTGCCTGCGTGGTGGCAGCAGCAGCTGCAGCAGCAGCGGCAGCACGAGTGGGGAGATAGCACCTCGTTCACACTCCCTGCTGCTTCACCCGTTAGCCCATGTCCCATACACCTCCTATGACCCGCACCATCACCACAAACACCACCAGAACCAGCAGTAGCAGCATCAGTAGCAGCACCAGCAGCAGCAGCAGCACACACGCGCATGTCAGCAGCAAGAGTCGGCGTACCATGCACAATGCTGCTGCTGCTCGTTCTGCTCGTGCCACTGTGTGCACTGCACCCACCACCACCACCACCACCACCACCAGCAGCACCAGCAGCAGCAGCATTACTGCCGGCAACAGCAGTAGCAGCAGGTGCAGCGTTTATTGCAGGGGTGTCAGGGGTTGGCAGTGCAAACCCCAACTCAAGAGATTCCATACCGTGAGGGTGGGTGGGACCGGAGGGAGCCGCCACTCTGTATCCACAACCCCGACCAATGCCCAGCTCTAGACCAATACCCTCTTCCCCTTCACTCTCCTCCCTCCTCTCACTCTCCTGTCTTCTCCCCCCACTCTCCTCCCTCCTCCCCGCACTCAACTCCACCCCGCCTGTGCTGCTGCTACCGCCCTCCCCTTCCAACTCCTCTCCGCATTCCATCCCACATTGCCCTGCCCCTCCCCCTACCCCTCCCCCTCCCCCTCCCCTTTTCCCATCCCCACCCCCTCCCCTCTCCCCATTCCACCTCACCACTCCACAACCTCCCTCTTTTTCACGAGCTCCTTCGTCCCCCAACTTCCCCTGTGCCTCCTCCTCCTCCTCGATATCCCCATCCCCCTCTCCTCCTGTCAACACGGCAAACCGCCTACAACTGCGCTCCTGCTCGCCACCACAAACCCACTTCATCCCAGCACGCTCGCCTCTCTCCCGTTCCCCAGCAACAACTTGTGCTTCTGCTGCGCCTGCTCCTGCTGAAGCAGCACCCTTCTGAGACACCTCAGGAGTGTTGGTCACTGCTGCTGCCACCGCTGCTCCTGCCTCTGCTGCCGCTGCCTCTGCTGCCGCTGCCTCTGCTGCCGCTGCCTCTGCTGCCGCTGCCTCTGCTGCCGCTGCCTCTGCTGCTGCTGCCTCTGCTGCTGCTGGGGCTAGAACCTCAATTCGAGCACCCAGCAGCATGGCTACTGTCGTCCTCCTGCCCTCAGCCTCGGCCCCACGCATTCTCACTCCACACATTTCGTCTATGCCTTCACCCATCCCTTCACCGTTCCCCTCACCCATCCCCTCACCCATCCCTTCACCCGTTCTTTCACACGTATCTCCGGTTTCCCCTTTCGGCACCTCTACCCACTCTCCTGCCCTTGCACCTGCTGGCCGCTCGCTCACCTCCCTTGACTCGCCACCCTTACACCCGCCTCTCGCATCCAATTCCACTCTCTCCTCTCTCCCCTCGCACCCCTCCCCCCCAGCAGCACCACCGTCCCCTCCCCCTGCCTGCGCCACCTCTCCCTTCCGCCTCTTGCACTGGCGCACCTCATCAACCCGCCCCCCTCGTCTCTCCCCCCGTCCGCGCACCCTCCCCCTGCCTGCGCCATCTGCGCCTGCCCTGCCCTTCCGCCCAGCCCACACCAGCCCGGCACCCAATGGCTCCTCATTCTCCTGCCCCTCTGCTGCGCCCCCTCGCCCCTGCACCCTTGGCCGCAGCTTGCTCACAGAAACACGTTGCCGCCTCTGCTGCTGCTGCTGTTGCTGCTGCTGAAGCGTGTCATGTCCCCCTTGCCCGTTCGCCCAGGCTGTTGGACACATGACAAGTGCGCCGTCTGCCTTTTCTCCCGTGCTAGCAGCTGCTGCTGCTTGTGCTTCTGGTGCTGGGGCTGTTAAGGATTCAGCAGCACAAGCAGCAACAGCAGCAGGATTAGGGGCAGGAGCAGCAGCAGCAGCAGCAGCAGCAGGGGCAAGGGAGGACGGTTCAGGTGCTGTTGTGGCAGCACCACGCTCCACACCTGCATGCTGCTCTGACACCTCTCTGCGCCAGTGTGGCTGCTGCATTTGCAGGGCAAGGGGCTGCAGCGGTGAGCGCGGATGCCATGAGGGCGTGGCCTGCTCTAGATTAGGCAGACAGGGACGCGGGTGCGAGGGAGAAGGAGAGACCGTGTTGTCAGTAGTGGAAGGGGCGTTGCAAGCAGCGGGAGCAGCGGGGGCAGCGGGAGGGGCGTTGTGAGGGTGCGATGGGAAGACGAGGAGGCGCGACGCCTTGCACTTTGGCCCGCCTCGCTTGCTCTTGGTCGCTGCTGCGAGTGATGGCAGCGACACATCAGCAGCAGTAGCAGCAGCAGCGGAGTCATCCGGTGGAGGTGCGTCTGTGGGACACTGCAATGGCGCAGAGGCAGCAGCAACACACGTCGCACTGGCAGCGGGAGCGATCTCAGCAGCAGCACCAGCGGCGGCGGTGGCGGCAGCAGCAGAGGAACCAGCGGCAGCAGAAGGTGCCAGCACCCCAGGGACAGGCGCGCCTAATGACGGTGAATGAGGAGATGGGGAAGCGGATGGAGAGGAGCATGCGGATGGGGAGCGGGGGATGGGGGATGCGGATGCGGGTGCACCATAGCGCACCATGGGAAGGTCACGAGACGGTGACCACCCGTTGCCACTCCCACCCACCCACACTCCTCTCGACCCCTCCCTTCCTCTCCCGCCTCTCCCTCCTCTCCCTCCTCCACCACCTCCTCTTCCTAACCCTCCTGCTGCCCCTTCCTTCTCTCCAGCAGCAGCAGCAGCAGCCACTGCCTGTGCTGCGGCCCACACTATCCCGCGCGCGCCTCGGCCCCGCCCCACGTCCCTGCACTTACTGCGCGCGCGCCCTGCCTCCCCATCCTCCGCTGCCCGCGCTCGCTTGCGCGCTGAAGGTTGCCGCGGGGGCAGCGACGGTGCTAGGGCCTGGCTTGCGTATGACTGCTGCTGCTGCTGCTGCTGCTGCTGCTGCTGCTGCTGCTGCTGCTGCTGCTGCTGCCGGTCCGGTAGATGTGGCGGTGGTGGCTCTAGCAGTGTGCCGCGGTGCTGGTTTGGATCAATCTCCTTCAACAGCGAGCAGCAGTTTTTGCTGCCTTGTCTCACGCCACTCCTCATAGTCGCCTCACCGCCACCACCAGCGGCATTCGCAGCGGCAGTACCAGCAGGAGCAGCAGCAGGAGCAGCAACAGGAGCAGCAGAAGGAGCAGCAGAAGGAGCAACAGCAGCAAACTCGGAGATGAGTTGGCGGGCTGACATGTCTCTGTGATCTAATACCTTACACATACCTCCCCCACCGCCTTCTCCTCCTCCTCTGCTTGTTACGCGCCCGCCATCCGCACACTCCCCACCTGCCCCACCAGCATGCAAGCTTGGCGGTTGCATGGGACTGCTGCCGCATGTGGCTGCCTGTGCCGCACCCTGCTCTCTGTCTGTGCCTGTGATAGCATCACCACCACCACCAGCAGCAGCAGCAGCAGCAGCAGCGGCGGCAGCAGCAGGTGCAGAGGCAGCAGTAGCAAGCAGTGGTGGTTGTGGAGGAGGTGAGGGCGAGGGGAAGGTGCGGCATGCGAGGGGCGATGGAGGCGGTAGGGGTAGAGGCGGGGGCGATGGCGATGGGGGCGTGGGCGTGGGCGGTGGTGCAGCGGGTGTTGAAGCCGCGGGGTGAGCGGGTTGTGATGACACCCCTGCAGCAGATACAGCAGCACACATTGACAGACGAGATGGGAGATAAGACACATGGGAAAGACGGGAGGCACGGGAAAGGCGGGGCACGGGCATGAGCAGTGACCGCAAGCGCAAAGAGAAGGGGAAAGAAGGGTTTGGACATGCCACGCGAAAAAACCAACACAGAGACGAGCCAAGGCAGCAACGTAGCCAGGGCGCAGGACGGACGGAGGCAGCGGGGCGGGATGGGGAAGGGCGGAGTGAAGCGCCGAGAAGCGGGGCGAGGCAGGGCGAGGCAAGACTGGACTTGACGTGGCAGGCGCATTGAGAGATCGCTGAGAATATCCCACTCCCCCACTATGTCCACTGCCCCCCGCTGCCCCCCACAGCCCCCCACTGTCCCCGCTGCCCCCACTGCCCCCACTACCTTTCCCCCAGCACGAGCGCCATCCCCCCAGCAGCGAGCGCACCTTGCGCGATGGCGAGCAGGCAGTGTGCGACGCCGGGCGTGCCGAGCCAGCGGTACGTGGGGCGCGCCGAGGGGCTGTTGCTGGGCGCCGCGGGCGGCAGCTTCTCCACGAGGCAGATCGCCGCCAGGATGTTGGCTATGTCATACAGCCGCCGCGCCTTGGCTGGATAGGGGGCAATGGGGGACGGGGGGATGGGAGTGCGTGCATGGGGGAAGGGAGGCGTGTGAAGGCGCTTCTCCACCAGGCAGATCGCCGCCAGGATGTTGGCTACGTCGCACAGCCGCCTCGCCTTGGCTGGGGGGAGGGGGGGGATGGGGTATGAAGGGGGGCGGGGGGAACGGGAGAGAAAGGGAAAAGGGGTGAATTGAAGGGCGATGGGCGGATGGCTGCCAGGATGTTGGGGGGGTGCGACGGCGTAATGGCGGACGGGGGGACGGGGAGAGAAAGGAGAAGGGGGTGAATGCGGGTGAGGCGCAGTGGAAAAGGAAGAGGGGAGGGCGCGTGAAAGAGGTTGGCGGGCCACCTAGACGGGGCCTAGGCTTCAGTAGCAGGGGGCATTGCAGGAGGGAAGATGCATGAGTGCTTGGGGTGTTTCATTGCTGTAGATGAGAATGTGTAAGGACGTAAGGGGGGAGCAGCGGCAGCAGCGTTGCCGGCAGCAGCAGCAGCAGAAGAAGAAGAAGAAGAAGAAGCAGAAGCAGCAGCGGCAGCAGCAGAGCAGCGACGTACTCTGCAGGTTGTGCGTGTCGCAGGACACCTGCAGCAACGTCTCCACCGCATGGTCCCATGACAGCAGCCGCGCCTGCACCGCACCGCACCGCACCGCACAGCAGCGCACACAAGAGAGGAGGTCAGCGGTCAGGAGTGATTGCAGGAGAGGCGAGAAAGATCAAGACGAGCGCGGGAGGGGTGCGTAGGAGACGAGGAGAGGAGAGGAGGGGAGAGGGGAGGAGGGGAGAGGGGAGGAGGGGAGGGGGGGAGGAGGGGAGGGGGTAGGAGGGGAGAGGGGAGCAGGGGAGGGTGGAGCAGGAACAGGAGGGGCGAGAAGAAGCAAGGGGGATGGCCAAAGCGGAGGGGGGGCTTGCCTCGTCGAGCAGAAAGAGCTGCACGAAGCGGTGTGTGAGCGAGCGCAAGGACTTGTCACTGCGGCCCCCTCCTGCCGGCGCTGCTCTCACACAAAGTGGCATACGGTCGGGATGGGGGGGGAAGGGCGGGAACGGGGGGGAACGGGGGGGAACGGGGGGGAACGGGGGGGAACGGGGGAGAACGGGGGAGAGCGGGGGGGAAGGGGGGAGAGATGAATCAACGGGGGAATTGGGAGGCGGAGACGGCAAGGAGGGAGGTGTGCGGATGGAGAGGCAGAGAGAGAAAAACGGGGTTGGTAGGAGAAGTGCGCACAGGAATGATGATGAGTGAGTGCAGCGCGGAACGGAACAGGGGGGAAAAACGTCAGAGAGAAGGTGACAGAGGGTGAGAGCTGGGCAAGGAGGGCGGCAGGACGGGAGGGCGAGAGGGCGGGAGGGCGGGACGCGGGAGGGCGGGGGGCGCACATGAGAGCGGGGAGGCGGGCAGCGAGTCGTCGTGCTTGAGATGGCTGGGCAGGGGGCTGGAGGCGCGGCCGTTCCGCGTGGGCGTGCACAGCGCGGACGGGGGAAGCATTGCGCCCACGCCCGCGCCCGCGCCACATGCCACAGCAGCACCCGCAGCAGCAGTCATGGCATTACTGCCACCGGGGGCGGCAGCAGCCGCGGATGGCCCGGGGAGGGGCATGGGGGAGAGAGGCGGGTCCATGGGTGCGCGGAGGTGCGCGGGCGAGAAGAGCGACGGGGGGAGGTGACCCGCGCCCGCAGCAGGCGACGCAGGGGGGTACGCCGCAGGGGGGAATGCGGCGGGGGAGAACGGCGCGGGGGGGAACGCGGTGGGGGGAAACGCGGAAGAGGGGAACGCCGCCGGGGGGAAAGCTGCAGGGGGGAAAGCCCCGGGCGGAAGAGTTGCAGGCGCGGATGCGCCTTGCAGGGACGCCAGTGCCTGCGCCTGAGGGGAGCGGGAGAGACGGGGAACGGCGCAGGGCGAACGCGGAGGGGGCGGGTAAGTCATGCGCAGAGAGAGAAGGCGCGCAGCATGGGCGTCACACGGAAGAGAGAAGCGATTGGGTCTCGGAAAGGGCGAACAAGGGGGGGAAAGGGGGGAGCAGGGAAAGGGAGTGGAGAGAGCAAGCAGGAGCAGGTGGGGAAGAGCGCAGGAGTGCGGGAGAGCGCGGGAGCGTGCGGGAGAGATCGGGAGAGAGGGGGAGTGGGGGAGTGGGGGAGTGCGGGGGAGTGCGGGAGAGTGCGGGAGAGTGCGGGAGAGCGGGGGAATGCGGGGGGAAGCGCGGGAGGGAGAGTGGAGCAAGCGCGGGTACCTTGAGGTTGGCGATGGCCTGGGGGAGCACGGAGGCGCCGAGCCAGACGTACTCGTTCTTGCCCTGGCGCTGCACCACGCGAATGCTCTCCAGCACGTTCACTATGTCGTACACCCGCCGCTTGCGCACCCCTGCGAACACACACATGCACGCACACATGCACGCACGCATGCACGCACGCACGCTCACACACATGCACACACACATGCACGCACACATGCACGCACGCATGCACGCACGCACGCTCACACACATGCACACACACATGCACGCGCGCGCGCGCGCGCGCGCACACACACACACACACACACACACACACACCGCCGCGTTCCGAGGCACGAGGCGCGGAGGGGCGAGGGGAGGGGAGCAGGGGAAGAGGCGAAGAGAGCAAGGAGGCGAGGAAGTGAGACGCAGGGCGGAGTGGTCGAAGGGAGTGCGGTGCGGTGAGGCAAGTGCACGAGGTTGAGAGCATCGAGCAAGACAGGTGGGCGAGGTAGTGACGAGACGGATAGGAGGACGGTGGGGTAAGGCGGGGGAGGGGAAGACGGCGGATTGAAGGAGGGCGGGCGGAAGAAGGTGGCAGAAAGAGGGCGGCCGGAAGGAGGGCGGGGGGAAAGAGGGCGGCCGGAAGGCGGAGGGCGGGCGGGGGGTACGAGGGCGGGGGGTACGCGGACGGGCGGAAAGAGGACGCGCGGGACGCACCAGTGGAGGAGGCGAAGCCCTCGAGAGACACAACCGCCCCTTGGCGCGCGGCGTACGCGCAGAAGAACCTGGCGCGCAGGGCGATGGTCGCAGCGAGATGAGCGCGCGCAAGAGGGAGGTTTGAGAGAACGGAAAGTGAGACGCGGTGAGAGGTGGTGAGAGGTCGCGAAGGGTGGCGAGAGCCAAGGGACGCGAAGTGACAAAAGGACGAGACAGCAGAAGAGGGTACGGGAGGGGAGGGAAGAAGCACACCGATTGACGGAAAGAAAGGGGGGATGTGTGGACAGGGAGTAAGCTCGAGATCACGCGGCGATCGACAGCAGCGACGAGACGGAGGGGGGGCGGGGGACAGCGAAACAGGGGAGAGTCCGGGACGGGATGACAAAAAGGCAAGAAGGCCGGTAGCTGCTGGGGGACTGGTAGGCTCCGAGGCTCGAAAGGCTCGGAAGCTGGGTGGGAGGAGAAGGAATGAAACGCAAGGTCGGAAACGGGGCTGTAGTGACGAGAAAGACGCGAGTACGGAATGACGAGGCGGAGAGTCAGGTAAGAGTCAAGTACCCACTTGTGACAGAGCGCTGCCAGCGAGTGATCCTTCCGCACGTAGCTCTCCTTGTCTTTCTCCTTCTCCACCTCCTTCTCCTTCCCAACCTCCTTCCCAACCTCCGTCCCAACCTCTTTCTCAACCTCCTCCTCTTCGCGCAACGCCTCCTTCACCTTACTCTTACTGTTCTCCCTGCCACGCGCGTCCCGTCCTATGTCTCTCACGTTCTTCTCTACCTCTCGCAACTGCCCTCTTGACCTCCCCGTAGCCATCGCCTCTCCGCCGGCCTTCACGGGAGTGCGCGCGGGCACCACCGGGGACGCTGCGGGTGCGCCCGCGGGTGGCGCAGCCGAAGCGACCATTGAGGGGAGCTGGCTGCGCGCAGCCGAAGGCGGGGGAGCGGGGAAGGGCTGGAGCGCGCTGAAAAGGTCAGGAGCGCAGAAGAAAAGAACGCGCAACTACTACTGGCTACTGTCGTGTCGATACGCCGAGAGGGAGGCTTCAGCGTGGATTGCGGGGACACCAGCGGCAAGTCGAAAACGACGAGCGCAATTACGCCATGGCCGTGAGTGGGCGAGGGTCGAGAGTCCCGAAGTGGAAAGCACGTCAGGAACTGGAAGCAAGGGTGAATCATGCGCGAGGACGCTTCGCAGAATGAGCGACATGGCCAACATGCGGTGCCTCTTCTCCTGGGGTGCTACCGTTGCCAAGATCGAGATGGCATGGCGAGGCGCAGTTTCTCTCAAACTCGACGAGCCAGCACAGAAAAGAATACAGAATAGAAAAGAAAGATCGAGTTTCTCAGTCAATTCCGATGTTAAAGGCGTTCCAAACAGCTCCAGCAGCTTTCACCAAAGCACGGCAACAGGGGGCGTGCCACTATCCTTCTCGAAGACCACCAGATGTTCCGCGAACAATCAGAGGGTTTCACCACCTGAGGAGAGGAGAGCAAAGGCGAAACGGAAGATGGCGTGCCTCAGTCCGTGGGAGAATGGTGGTTTTACGGTGGTGGTGGTGGTGGTGGTGGTGAGAGGTGGGGTGGGGTAATGGTAGGTTCGAGCCACGAAAAGTCAATGCAGCAACAAATAAGGGCGACGTCAGGTTGTACAACTTTTTGTACGCCCTCTCTGGTAAGTTGCGTTTGAGCACGGTGCAGAGCGGTAATATCTGAAAAACGCTTTTCACCGTGTTGGACCGTCCTGAACCACGATTCAGGAACTGTAAGCGCGTGTGAAATGATGTGTAACCTAACGTGAGGTGTGGATGGATGGATGGTAGCAGGATGGTTATGGCATGGGGTGGTTGGTATGGGATGGTTGGTTTGGTTGGGGTATGGCTGGTCCGCTGGGCTTGTTGCAGCACAGTCGAAGTGCGGCCCGGCGCGAGTGACAGAACGCAGACGCTGCTGAGTGGAGCACACCAAACTTACCATGAACCATTCCATCCACGGAATTCTCCCCGAAATTTTGGCGGGAGCGAGGGGAGAAATATGGCGCGAGGTAATCTGTACTTCCTCCCGCTCGACGGTTTTTGCGTTGAGCTGGACGGGCAGAACGTAATGTGACGGGCAGGAGGCTGATGTGGATCGTACCGTTGGTTTGAACATGCACACACCATCACATCGAGATCGAACCGTCAATGGGGAAGCACAAGCACAATAACCAGGGATATCCATCAAAACTTTAATAATTGGCGCAAGCTGGTGGTCTTTGACGTTCCGCCTTTGGGGTGAACCAATGGTCCCGAACCAAAAGTTCAAACCCTAAATTGATCGCTCGTCACCACCGCAGCGGAAGATGAACCCAGAGGAGTTCACTCCTCCAAGTAGCCTAGATACAGAGTGGTTCTGCGAGTGCTTTAGCTTCACTCTATTTGATTCAAAGACATGGGTTAAAGCAATTATTTGAACACATCCTGGTGTAGTGTAGAATATAAATACAAGCTTGCCATACCACATAGGGACCACTTGCCTGTATGCCCTATTGCTTTTATGGTACCAATACGGTAGACCCCCCCCCCCCCCCCCCCCCCCCCCCCCCCCCCCCCCCTACCCCAAGCATACAAAATGGATGAGGGGTTGCTACTAGCAGAAACCAAGGGCGCACTCCACCGAATAGAGTAAGGTGGAGGTCACGTGGTCCAACATCTAACCAGATAATCATGTAAGGGTTGATTCAAACGCGAAAATGAAACGAGGTCATCATCCTGCAGAACTGATGTCGCATTTAACATCCACTGACAAAAACATTTAGTTCTAGCTACATCAAAAAATCCAGAACGTGTCCTTGCACAGCAACTAAGCGCACACCATCAATCCACCACAGAAAATGCCACCAGGCAAAGGGCCACTTGCTAGATGATTGACTGTATGCTCGCCTAACGTGACGTTCTCTCCATCCACCACCCCCACCCATACCCACAGCACAGGCATGAACCAGCATAAACCTAACCAGCAAAGACCGGCTAGTGCTGCAACAAGTCTTGCGCCAACCTCCGTTGAGACTGAATGGTGGCCTGGTGAAAGGGGTACACACATTGGGTGGGTGGAAGAACGGCTTAGAAGCACTAAGTAACAGCTCAAACACAGATCAAGTAGCAATGAGAGGAAAACAGACATGCTCCAAAAGCAGGAAAACCAGCACGGTCTGTTACTGCTCCCAGATAGAGTAGGAGAGAACAAATTCGTAAGACCACCACACAGTTTAGCTTTAATAAGCTATGGCTCCAGCAATGTGCCCCTCAAGATACACCCCAGAACTGCCAGTATCCTTACAGCTGCTGTGACAAACCCTGCATCACGCCGCTCACAATCCTCGTTCGTTATATCAAATATAAAGCTTTAGTTGTTATTCATCACATTACAATTCCATGTAAGCCCCCTTAGCTCAATGAAGCTCAGGCAAAAAGGACCAAAACCTGTAGCACCTAGCTAATCAACCGGAATCGAGCAACGGGAGGGATACCACGTAAATCAGGTAAGGCTGCTGGCACACGAGGCCCCAATTTCAAGTTCTCCAATATACCCACCATCACTTACTGACATAGCCCACAACTCCCACTCAACCCATCCCTTCCCATCCCCTTCTCACCTTGAAGCGCGCTTGCGTCTAGTCGAGCTTGACGGACGAGAAGAGGTAATAGACGAAGTAGGCGGACGAGAAGAACCCCACGGCGCCGGTGGCGAGGAAGATCGCGAGCGTCATGAGCACGGAGTAGCACATGAAGATAATCGCCGACAGCGTGCCGTGCATGCGGTGCAGATCCACGATCAGGTAGTTGATCGAGTACAGGAACACGTAAAACGCCACGGCGCCCGACGCGAAGAAGCTGCGCCACCACCAGCGGTAGTCCTCCATCGTCAGCTGCAGGTACGTGAACACCACGGCCACCTCGGCGCACACCACGATCAGCAGCACAAGCACGATGAACAGGAACCCGAAGCCGTAGTAGATGCGCTGCATCCACATGGACGACATGATGAAGAACAGCTCGATGTACAGCGTGCCGAACGGCAGGATGCCGCCGCCGATGATCAGCAGCCACGGGGAGTAGCTCTGCTCCGGGATCTGGCGCGGGATCTGGTTCGTGCGCACGGGGTACTGCAGGCGATCCGCGCGGAAGCCCGCGCGGGTGCCGGCGATGGTGAGCGGCACGGAGATGACGAACCAGATGAAGAAGAGGTAGAAGTAGAGCGTCAGCGGCACGGCGCCGGTGCTGTCCGTTCCCCACAGGAGGAAGTTCACCAGGGTGAGCACAACGGCGCAGATACCGGGGAAGAAGCACGCCACCTTGAAGGCCAGAACCACCGCTCCCTCCGTGAGCCCGGTAAGGGTCACCCACAGGCGGGCGGCCACGTAACCCGCGGCCGCACCAAGCAGCAGGTACAGGAACACCATGCCCATCAGGAGCGCTCCGCGCGACGCTGGCGACATGAAACCGAGCGCGGCGAAGAAGATGGTAACCGTCGCCATGGCGATGAGCTGCGTGCCGTTGGCGACGACGACGCAGAGAATGCCCGGGTAGTTGGGCGTGCGGAACACGTCTCCCACCACGAGCTTCCACCCGCTCTCGTCCGCCAGCTGCTGCGCCTCCTCTTTGTCCAGCTGCTCGATCTTCGCCAGATCGCGATGCACGGAGCGCAGGAGAATGACGAACACCATGCCGGCGAGGAAGGAGATGACCATTAGCGAGTTGAGAATGGAGAACCAGTGCACCTGGTCGCTGCGCATCTTCAGGTACGCGTCCCATCGGCTAGCCCACTGAATGTCGCTCTTCTCCCACAGCACGTCGAAGGTGAAAACGATGGTCTCGCCCGGTGCGATGGGCTGCGGATCGGTCTTAAAGCAGTCCACGGGATCCAGAGCGGTGTAGCGCGGCTTCGACTGATCCGGGACGCGGCGGATGCTGCACGCTGCTGATTCGAATCCAACGACCAGAAATCCTGAGTTCCCCTTCCCTTCGGGAAGACCCTCCTCGGGAAGAACATCCAGCGTGGAATCGCCGATAGACATGCCGGCCAGGCCGGCAGGAGTCTCCTTGTACTCGTGCACGAGAACCTTAAAAAGGATGTGATTGTAGATGTAGTACTGGCCGTTGCTGACGTAGCCGATGGGGAATCCGGTGAGAATGTCACCGGGATTCTCCTCCAGCGCGTACAGGGTCACCGGCAAGTTGTCCAGCAGCAGATTGATGTGGTAATGGTCGTCGATGCGCATCTTAAAGTGCTCCACGTCAGATTCGTTCAGAGGGCCGGAATCGCAGACCTTGACGGCTCGCTGCGTGACGAGCATGTTAAACTTGTAAGGCGAGTTCTCGATCATGTCTCCCACCAAAACTTCGCCGAAATTCTCGTCCAGCTTCTGAATACCCTCCTCAGGTCTGCAGAACGGCAGGCTGTAGAAGTTGAAGGGAAGACCGGTCTCGTTAGATGTAAGCGAGTTCACCTTGACGTTGATCACGGAATTCGGAGCATGAGCCTTCGGGTACATTCCAGGTAAGTAGAAGGAATGTGTGGGAGCTGCTAGCAGGGAGGCCGACAGCAACACGCACGCAAGGGCGGCTATCCGCCCTACACTGCTTAGGCGACACATCTTGAGATCTGGAATCCGACAAGCCCCTAACTCCACAGCGGCAGATCAAGCCGCAAGACGAAAATCTCAACAACAGAGACACGCAGCTGCTAAGGAGACTTGAAAACTAGAGATCCAGGAACAACGGCCAGATCGATAACCACCAAGCGAGGAGAAGAATCTCCCAGTGGTTAGGGAAATGGGAATTAGATGCAAGAGAAGAGATGGGAGATGTGAACATGGGAGGATAGGGTAGGGTGCACAGAGGAACAAGGGATGGGGGAAGGGCCGGG